ACCCAAAAGGAGACGTCGGAGACCCTATACAACAACTATAGCATACAGCTGCCATACAACTGACCGATAAAACTTAAATCCTTGTTTGGAAAACTTTTTTATTTGACAAGGCATATATTATTGTCCAAGGCATCGCTAAAGTCTCCGAAGTAGTTGTTCAGATCGGATTTCTATAGCATATAGCTGTTCTACAAACTGATCCATCGTAATTAGTGTAAAGATTGACTTTTATGATATAAATAATGCATCTGTGTAGGTTTTTATAGCTTCGGTGTAGCCGAAGTTAACGTTTTTCTTGTTTAATTATCGGATTCTTCATCGAGTCTCGAAAAATTTACTACTAATACTCGTACTTTAAAATAGGCTTAAAAATATACAATGGCGAAGATCATATACTCAAGACAAAAAAGTTATTTATCCAAGTAATAAATAGAATATACATATTTTATACATAATATATTCCCTGTATAACATATAGACAAAATTTTCAAGGCCAACTTAGACAATTTTATTAATTCACATTATTTATTTCACTGAATACTACGCGAAATTTTTCCTACGCCATATTAGAGAATATTATTTTTCTCGGTTTTATATTTTTCGAAAACTCTATCGCAAATAGAATTCTTCTAAATTTAAAATTTCATGAAAATTTTTGGAAGGCAGTTTTTTAAAAATTTCAGTGTTGAAGTTTTGAAGAGTTGTCAGATCTATTCTAAAAGCAATTTTTTTGAACTAAAAACTTCCCGAAAAGTTTTCGGAATTTTTTCGACACAGATTTTGTAATAATTGACTCGTTTTTAATTATTTGTTTCGATAGCTGGTAATGCGCTTCCTATATAAGTCATATGAATTTAGAACTTCCAAAATAGTATCCGGAACACTTTCTGTAGCACATATAATTTTGCTATAAACTTTGTAACATTTTCAATATTACGGTTTTTTTTTGCTGAGTAGCAACACTAGTTCAATATAAATTTACCTAAAAAAGGTTTTGTTTAACGATGTTTATTTAACTTTGTAAGATTTTCAGTGATACCTTTTCAATAAGTGGCAACACTATTTAAAGATATAACTAAATTAAAGATTACCTTCCTACCTCTAATATCGGTATTGTATAATTTTTTTATGATTGGCTCGAAAATAACTTTTTTTGTTCCTCATAAAGCGCATTAATACCCTTAATCGAGAAATATTCATAAAATATAGCCTTTTAAGGGTAATATTACAATAGCATATTCCCTCAACGAAGTAGTGCTGAGTTATTACTTGGATTAATATATTAATATAATGATCCTTATCTGCACAACATGTTAACCTCGCTCCATTTCAAATTCACTTAAGTGGGAAACATTGACTCCACTTTTACTTTTATCGCGTGGAAAATTATGAATGGTTTTGATAAGGCACATGGTTTGAAAGGGCCTATGCCCATATTAAATATAATTTATTTTCACTTATTAATTTGTATCTGCTCACAATCACAAGTCAAGTCCTACGTCCTAGCTTTGCACCGGAAATGGGTTCTATCACCATTCCGACCAAAATAAAATGAAAACTCCTTAATAATTCCCATGAAAATGGGTCTCATAAACAGGCCACTGACAATAGCTTCAAAGCGGTATTCTCAAGTAAGACAAGAAGCTCGTTCAAGTAGACAAACAACACTTAACTTTCTAATAGTTTGTCATTGGCTTGGAGCCGATTTTATTTAAAAAATCCCCTTAGCTTCTAAACCAGAAATTATTTCGTACAAAATGGTAGAATACCACAGATGGTAGATTAATTTCACCATGTGACAATGATTCAGCAAATTTTAACCGTTTAATCTATCGAATAAATATAAAAAAACCATATATCGGTGTATAAGAATAAAACAGGTTGTAATTAATAATGTATACCATATAAATATTTGTTGTTTCGTATGTTCTTATAAAAAAGTGTGTATATAGTATATGTCTGTATACAAATAGAAGCACAAATTAGCATATTTATAGAAAATCCCCTTTACTAAGCCTATGGCTAAATTATGTTCTAGTTAAAGTCAATATCGCCTATATGAAAACATGCGTGTGTAGAAACATAAATTAGCATATTTATATGAACTCAGCTTTACTAAGCCTCTGGCTAAATTATTGTATGTTCTAGTTAAAGTCAATGCCGCCTACTTGAAATGTGCGTACAAAACTAAGCATAAATTGTTGTTGCAATTTGTTTGGTATTTTATTAAATGTAGCTTCAATACATGACCCGTTTGTCAGTCCTGCAATCAAATTAAAGTACGAGAAGAGTCTTATAAAAAGCAACTAGCCAAGAAGTAGAAAGATAAATAAAATACCAAAATCAACTCGAACAAGAATTTTACATACCTTACGGATTTCTAATAAGGTACATTTTGAGAATGTTAAATCAAATGTGGTTTGTATGCATAGGTAATTTGATTTAGGCACATATACATTTGGGACATCTTTAAGCCTTTCAGCTCTTACAGTATTTGTTGTATTTAGAATTTAAGCATACAAGAACTTATAAATATTGTACTTATCGATTATTTGCAGATTGGCAAGTACAGAGTTTTGAATTATTAACCGCTATTTATACATATATTATATAACAATTATGTATTATGTATCATATATACTACATGTATGTATGACGTATATATCCACAGATTTTATTGCAGAAAAATGGAAAAAAAAGCAATATCAATTGATTCGATTTTAATTTTTGAAAATCATAGTTTCCTCACTGTTAACGAAACATTTATCCCCTGGTACGCACCAGAGACCAAGGAACGGTCAAAACAGTGGACTTCACCAGCGGAAAAAGGTGATGCTCCCCATTTGCTGGAGTTCACAATGTATGAATCGAATACTTGGAGAAGGATAATATGGTCACAGGTCTCTAACTATACTATGGTATCGATTCGATACCAAGTTGCAGAAAGAACATTCTCATTTGGCGTAGAAAAACATCGCTTTGGCTAAATTGGTCATATTAGGTTACGAACTGTTGTTCCATCCACCGTATTCATCAATAATTGGTTTAACTAAAAGACCACGATTTCGTATTGACAGATCACCCATTGAAGGTGCTTGAGATAGCTGAGATCGTAGTTAACTCAAAAGACCTCGTGGGTTATATCAATTTAAAGCCTGCTATTGGACATGAGAAAGCTATCGACGCCGTCGATTGCTCACTTCGGACAATAATCGCAAACGTGAAACCATTTTTCAACAGTTTTCGACAGTATTTAAGCGCAATCCGAATGGGTTTCTGCATAGTTTCGTAATCGTTCACGACCACCGTTTTCTAGAACTCACAAGAAATAATCTACACCGACTACATGTAAAAGGGCTATTAGCTAAATTTTTGTGCTGAAAAAGGTACTCTTCCACCTCGATAACACATCGGTTCCCAGCTAGGCTGTCGTCGCGGCTAGATTAGTTGCATTAGGCCACGATCTCTTGCCCCAACCATCAAAGTCTACATATTTCACCTAACTTTTGGTTTCGAAACTTGAAAAGGACAATCACGGGGAAGAAATTTAAGTGGTAATAATTCAGCGAAATGAGTTGAATGAGGACGTTACCGGCACGACGAAGACCTGCTTTGCAGACATCCAGCAAATTTATAATTCAGAGCAATTATAGACACTGTACATTAATTGTTTAAATGTGTCGAGATAAAAACAAACTACAATATATCGAAAAATAAATCGCTATTATTCTCAGAATTTTCGTTTTTCTTAAATGCTGTAAACACAACAAAATTCTCCAACACAATTTGCGTATGCTTTAATGTACAACAACTCTTCCAGTAATCATTTGCCATACTCTCGCCGTATGCTGCTCAAAGTTTCATAGGTTTTGCATATTTAAAATGTTTAATTGCCACTATTGAAACAGGAATAAGGCTGACGATGTGAGCATTGGACTCAGTCACTACCGAAAGCCTTCTCTTTTGCTCTCTAACTCATTTTCTTTCACTTTAATTGAAATTTATCGCAGCAATCATTCTCTAATCATAAAATTTGCTTTCAGACACAACAACAACAACCAACTCTTTCACTTGTCTACAGTCCAATTTGTGAGCTTTATATAAATACAAATTTATTTGCAACATGTTGACACTTTGATTTTGCATGCAACTTTGTATTCATATTTGTATTTTTTATATAACTATGTGTTTACATTCCGCCTCTTTGGCTTGCTTGGGACAATCCAACAGCCACAAGTAACATTATTTTACACATTTGCTACATTTTTTCGCTGCTGTGCGCCGAGTCAGGTGGTTGCCGCAATCCCAAAACTCGAAATAGAAATTTCATAGAAAATAGCTGACAAGCAGCGGAGCGATCGCGCACCAATTACATAAGCCAGCAATGCAGTGGAGCATGCGCCATTGCAACGGCTGCAGTTGAATGCAATTGCGTTGTATTACCGAATGCAGACATACATACATACGCCTATTTGGTATATGCATGTACTTGTATATATATATAAATGATTTTTGCTTGCAAATGCCATAAATTTGTGTAAAGGAGGTCCTGTGCAAATAGCGTTGCATAAGAAAATAATTATGCTTTTAAAAAAATGTAAAAAAGCCACGTACTATGCATTATTAAATAAGCGCTTATGACACAACGAATATTTTTATTGAATTTTGTAAGTGATTCTCTTAATGGTGTTCACTAATTATATTTATAATGATTTTCATAAATCTTTTTATTTCTTTGAGGTGTTCATGAAATGCCACAGCATTGAGCTCAGCACAATAATTTATCAAGTAATTGCAAATATTCAAATTCACACACTTTTTGCTCAGTTAAAGAGTTTTTGAAAAAATTTATAATAGAAATAATATTTTTTTTATCATTTTTTATCGCCATTATTACAATTTTTTATCATTTATTATTGCACCAATATTTTTTATGCAATATACATTCATTTCTTTTTTGCTTTTGTTGTCTTCTTCATTTTTTGCACTCTTTTACATACCTCTATTATTTGTTTTCAAACTCAAAATCACCAACGAATTGAAAAAATATTCAGTTAGCTCAACAGAAAAAAGCTCCCTGACTTCGTTCGCTCGGACGGTGGGCTAAATACACTTTGTTTATAAGTTTTTTTTTAACAATCTGTAAGTAACTATCCGAATTAAGCGCTTTTGTTCGATTCGAAACCAACGAAACGTCTGTGTCGCCCGACTGCCAAGTGCGGAATGAATTGCGGCTGCTGCGCAAACGCTTTGATGGCACTAAACTCCCGCAGCAGCAAGTCACCCTAGCAAAGAAAAATAACTACGAATATAGATAACTGTCTATGTACATATGTATGTAGGCCTTACAACCAAGTAAGCAAGCATCTTAAGAGCCAACTAACGCCAAAAAGCACATTTCTACGCTTCGACGTAATTATATATACACACATACACACATTTACAAGCAGCATACGAAGTTTGTTCAAAAAGTATGGCGAATTTTGTATTTCTTAAGAAAGTGTTTATTTTTTCATTTGTCCCCTTCAAAGTAAGCACCCCTAGATATAATTCACTTACGCTATTAGGTAAGTAGATATCGAGGAAGAGGCGTTACAGTTGCCCACGAAAATTCAAAATTCGCGATACTTTTTGAACACACCACGTATTTGAGCAAAAACAACACATTAATGGTGTCGCAGCCACCGTATTCCCTAGACCTCGGCCCCTGTGACTTTTGTTTTGTTTCTAAAACTGAATAGGCCCATGAAAGAACGACGCTACGCTACGATTGAGGAGATCAAAACTGTATCGAAGGAGGAGCTATATAAGATAAAAAAAAACTACTAACTTTAAATGCTTTGAGGATTGGGTAAAAAGCTGACATATACGAATATTAAATGTACAGTTGAAAATTTCAAAGCAGAACTTGGCACAGTGGTGTAGTTAAAATTTTTCGAAGTAGAATATTCAAAATTTTATACAATATCGGAAAGGTGGGAAATATATGGACAAATAAAGGTTCCTTACAATAACTTGATTCAGATCTAATTTCGTGAATCGGCAATAAAAAATAAATTTTTTTTCCAAACAGGCACTTTACTCCGATCGTTCAGTTTATATGACAGCTGTATGACATAGCGATCGGATCTAAACAATTTTTTCGGAGATCATATTCTTGTCTTAGAAAATAACTCTCGCCAAATTTCGTCAAGATATTACGTCAAATAAAAAAAGTTTACCATACAAGGACTTGCTTCCAATTGTTCAGTTTGTATTGCAGCTTTATGCTATAGTGGTCCGATATCGGCCATTCCGACAAATTATCAGCTTCTTGGTGAGAAAAGGGCAGGTGCAAAATTTCAGATCGATAGCATAAAAGCTGAGGGACTAGTTTGCATATATACAGACGGACGGACAGACGGACATGGCTAAATCAACTAAGCTCATCATGCTGATCATTTATATATATATTTTATAGGGTCTCCGACGTTTCCTTCTGGGTGTTACAAACTTCGTGGCAAACTTAATACACCCTGTTCAGGGTATAAAAAAATCAATAAATAAATTTAAGATGACCATAAAATGATGATGATGAGATATCTTACACTCACAGCAACGCGTTGGTTATAAATTCAAAAGCTCTGGAAAGTTAGTGCCGATGTGTAAATTTTTTTTTGCATACACCCGCAGAAAATGGATTTGGGCTCTTTTTGTTCTCAGGTCTTAAGATAATGCTCGCAACGGTGAGGTCATCATCGAAACTGAAACTTTTTTTGAAGCAAAAGATCAATCGAAGCAAAATGTGATTGAAAACAACTTGGATGAATAGCAACAACCAAATTTTTCCGAAAATGTGTTTTTCTTTAAATCAATAGGAACTTTTCGGCCTGCTTGGTAGTAGAAATTACATTGCTTGGAAATTGCTTCATATTTGACCAAGGGTTCAGCGGAAATATCATTAAATTAAGTATCATATGAAAGCTAAGAGATATATTGCAGTTTCATCCATTTTTGAACTATCCCAGATTTTGATATAAAAATGCACCGTTTTGCTCGATAATTTACACACTCGTTTCTATGACTAAAAACCTGCGACAATTGATTTACTCAAGCTTTTCTTAAGAAGAATTTCTCACCAGCAAATCATGCAAACAGACAGTAATCAGTTAGTGCCAAATCCGGTCTATAAAGTGGAAGCAAACCAAGCTACAGGAGCCTCTGGCGAGTTATTAACGATGTGTGTGGCTTGGAGTTGTCCTCATGTAACATAATTCCACTACTATTGTCCACTTCTGGGCGATTGTTTTCTACAGACGGTTCAATTATCCAATTGTTGATATTACGGATTCAAATTGAGATTTTATCCGTAGGGGAATAGCTTATAGTAGATGATTCCCTTTCAATCCCATCAAAGACATGGGAACACGTGCCTGATCGTGACCGATGACGACCGCCTTTATCAAAGAAAAGCTGGCATTTGGAAAATATTGGAAAAATAATAGACTCCGCCTGTAATAAAGATCTGTCTCTAATAAAAGATTGCGATTCATAGGTTTTATTAATGTAAAAATGTGGTTTATAAAAAATGGGAACAGTACTAGAGATGTGGCTACCTGTAAGCTCAAAAGCTTTAGAGAAGTTGGTATATATAACAAAAATACTTAAAATTAATCTAAACACCTTTGGGATGTAGAATGTAGACTCAAGTAAATTTGTAATAGTAAATTTGCTTTTTGAAATATTAGAGAAGATCAAATGTGTTAACGGATGCAAATGTTTCTTAAGCAAAGCCGAAAGGACTATTTTTAACGATGCTTTAATGACTTCACATAAAGTTAGCCATCATGTGGATCTATGCATCAAAGAAGTAAATATTGATGATATGGTTCAATAAGTCCAAGCACATCAAATCTGTGCTTCGCGATGGCGGAGATGAAATATATATGCCGTCATATAATATTAGAGAGCACAAGATGGACTTCACTACATGGGATGCTTGAGAACTACTTCTAAACAAAAATGTAATTTGAGGCAAAGAGATTTATAATCAAGAAATGTTTAATATTATATTTAAGGGAGCTCACTGTTCACAATCATTATGATTTTACAAGTTTATATATTAAAATAAAGTTCATGCCCTTTCAATGGATAACATATCGTCTATGAATTCACATCTTATTATACGCTGAACAGAATAGGGTAAGTTTGCCACGATGTTTATAACAACCAGAAGGAAACGGCGGAGACTCAATAAAGTTTATATATATATGATCGCATGAATCGCCATGTCCGTCTGTATATACGCGAACTAGTCCCTCAGTGTTTGAGATATCGATCCCGTGCTTTTCTCACCAAGAAGTTGCTAATTTGTCGGAATCGGCGATAGCGGATCCCTATAGCATATCGCAGCTGACCGATTAAATCAAGTTCTTGTATGGAAACGCTTTTATTTGTGAAGGGTATTATTGATTGTACCGAAGAATCAAAGTTAACGTTTTTTCTTGTTTTTAAGTTATTTATACTACAAGTACGTTGGTTTTGACTTTATTTTAAAACTTTGATGCAGTCAAGCACTCCCTTAAATAAATATTCTATTTCATTTTAAAAATGCGAAAAAGCTGAACTTATAATATTGTACTTCGAATATCTTATAACAAAATCACTTAAAGATGCATATATGTGTGTACGTACTCGTATATCAGGGTTGTGAATTTTTTAATTTAAAAATTAGTAGGAAATAATAATTAAAAACTAATTAAAAGTTGTTTGAGATTAAAAACTGAGATTTGAAAATTTTATTTTTTAATTTAATAGTAAAAATTTAAAATTTAGTTCACAATTAAAAATTGATAAAATAAATCATTTAAATGTGTAAGCTTGCCGACCAGTGCTCTAGAGTATTGATGGTGATCGCTCTCTGCGAGCATATCTATATATATACGTTATATCTCCGAAACATTACGTGTGAAATTCTTTTTATAATTTTTCGGAAACGCAGTACGCTTTAATTGTTAAGAAAAAACTACACATTTAAAGGACAAAAAATATGTAAATAAGTGTTATATGCCAATTCTCTGACGCTGTTGTTGTTGTTGTAGCGACAGAATTCTGCCGAGTTGACAGTCCTTGGCCGGAATAAATCCGGGTCCGTTCCGGTTACGTAGACCCGACTGTCGTGGGAACGGATTCTCTGACGCTCGAGTTTGTCGCTTAAGTTTTTTGTTAACTTTTGTACATAAACAAAATTAGCTTCTTTGATTTTTTTTTTCTGGAATTAAGTTGTAAAATTATTTAAAAGGAAAATATATTCCACAATAATTTCATTAAAAATTTAGTATTTCACTTAATTGGACTATGCAACTAGGAATGTTTTCTTGCCTGTAGTTGTGGCAGTATGTAGTGGTTATGAGTCTAAATTCACTACGTTATACTTAGCATCCAACCCTGTTCCTGCCAATAAATAAGTACTTTTCAAAAAAATTCAAAATTCACCTTTTTTCTTTGAACACACCTCGTACGCATATATTATTCTTTACTGTACCTAATTCAGGTTCCCACTGGGAGTATCAACTCAGCTGCATTTTACAAAAAAATTTGCTACTCAAATATTAATAAGAAATTACAATCTATATCAGATAAGAATAAAATAAAAAAAAACGAATGTATTGCTTTGGTTGTATGGTATGTTTATTTCGTACGCTTTTGCGTATATTTTAGTTCATACATATGAATACATAAAGCAGTACACACCTTTTCGCGAAAATATCGTAAGCGCCAAAAAGAGTAGTTTTTGCTCAAGCAAATCGTAAGGCGGATATAATGTGTACGATTATATAAGATCTTAAATATACTTTATTACTATAAAAAACCCTTCTCTAAAATTTAATTTTCACCACTAACTATATTTTCGCGGGAAGAGCTCGTTATGTATTACAGATGTATAGATTCACGAAAATATTGTATTACATACATATAATAGAATAGCAATTACATATAAGAACATATATTTTCTTTAAAATATATAGCATATAAATTGCAAAAAATACAATAATTCCGCTGAATATGTAAATACTTTAGGGCGATTGGAAACTTTGCTTTCTTCTTAATTTTCTTCGACGATGTCAAGCAATACTGACTCCTCTATCTCATCATTATTAGAGTCCTCCTAATTAAAAAAACAAAAATATTATATATATTATATAATAAATACAAAACTTCGAAGCAGTCAGCGTCAATTACTTACTTCGAAACCGAAGCATTCATTCATATTTAGTTTGGATTGAGTGTCAGCTTTCTCATCTAAAAATATAAAAAAAATATCAAGACTCATTGTAGGCTCATTTAGCATTTAACAATGTGATATAACAGCAATACCTTTAATGTTGTCTAAATTCGTTAAAATAACACAATCACCGTCCTCGTCATCCAACTCATCGTCAGTTTCTAGAACTTTCACCACCATATAGTTAGGCAAACCACTCACATCATCCTCTGCACTGTTCTCATCCTCATTTCTGATACTCTCTACTTTAAGTTCTATATTTTTTCCTTTGCCTTTGCCATTAGCCATCGTTGCCGCTGTTGTACTTTTGTTCTGTATGTGCGCTTTACTAGTGGTCGGTTCAACCGTTTCGATAGTGAAATCGTTTTCACTTTCTTCCATCTCTTCTATAACACCAAATACCTCGAAATTTTCATCATTAGTCGCATCATCGTCGTTCTCGTCGTCATTTTCTTCGTCATTCTCTTCGTCATTCTCTTCGTCGTTCTCGTCGGTCATATATGGATCTACTATATCGAATAAATTATCGTCGCCGAGTTTGCTCATCCTATCGGTTTTCGATTCTTTATCTGCTGCGTCATGCAATTTCATGTGTCGCACCAAATTGCCTTTGTGCGCAAATGCTCTTTTACAATATGGGCAAGTATGTGTCTTTTTGAGCTTTGGTGGCGGTGTATAATTTTCATTATGATAAAGATTTGTATGACGACCGAGTAGTTGCTTCTGTCGGAACGTTTGTCCGCATTGATCACACTTAAATGGCTTGACATCGCTGTGGATTTGCTTGTGCATCTCCAGATTACGCATGGAAATCGATTTGTAATTACATTGATCGCAACTGTTTAGTAAAAAAAAATTTTAACTTTTACTTTTCTCTATTTACTTTGTAAAGCACGTTTTCTTACCTATAACAGCGCTCTCCTTCGTGCGTTTTTACATGCATCTTATAGCTATAACGATCGGGCAATTCTTTGCCGCATCTGGTGCATGGTATGGGATGATCTGAATAATGCAGCTTTTTAACGTGTATCCGCAGATCCGATTTGCGGCTGCAAGTCGTTGGACATAACGCACATTGAAAGACTGGTTTGTCATCCACACTGTGTATGAGTTTGTGCGACTTCAATGAGTTTGATTGCGTAAAGCGCGATTTACAAATATCACACTCATACGGTTTTTCACCAGTATGTGTGCGTAAATGTCGTTTTAATTTAAAGCTATCCGGTGAAGCGTAAGTGCAATGTGGGCACTGATATGGGCGTTCGCCTGTGTGAGCGCGCATATGCCGCTGCAGCTTACTCATCTCAACTGTAGCGTAGTCGCATTCGGTGCACTTGTGACGTTTCTCATGCGTGTGTTTATAGCGTACATGTCTCGCCAAATCTCCAGGTGTCGTAAAACGACTTTCGCATGACAAGCAAGCATGTGGTCTCCTACCAAGATGTACGTTAATATGATTTTGTAAGGTATGATTCGTTTTGAAACCGCGATCGCATACGGAACAAATGAACGGACGATCGTCAGAATGCCGCTTCATATGTCGGGATAACAAAAATCTCTTATCGGCTTGATAATCGCAATGAGGACATGAATATTGTACTGTACCGCCAGCGGATTCTTTATTTTTTACCGGAAACACTTTTAATAGAGAGAACTGTTCACCTTCTTCCTCTTGAGATCCACTTTGCTCCTCCAGTTCATCGAATTCATAGATTTCATCAATCGCAGCTGGATCCTCAACAGTTTGCTCATTTTCTGTTTTAATGTTTTCAGCCGGAATATAAACCATATACTTTTCTTTGCCAGTATTCGTTGCACCGCTGACAGTAGTACTGCTTTTACCTGCTAAATAATAATTTTGTGCAATTAATATATCGAAAAGCTCTTGTTCAAAAAGCAACTCACCCTTTCGCTTTGCTTGAACTCCCAGTAACGGCTTTGCTTTTCTTTTAGTGCCGCTCGGCATATCATCCGACTTGCTTGACGTTAAAGTTAAAAACAAATTTCCGCCTTCATCCAAGTAGTATTGCTTATCTACATCACCTTTAATATCATCTTGAGAAAGTTTCACTGACTCCTCATCATCATCACCACCTAAGCCATCGGTTAAGCAAAGCGTTACTTCCTCAATTTCCTTATTTATCGAGTGTATGATGGTATCCAAATCTTGTCCATCTGAATCTTCATCTATTGTTGCAGACATCCTTCAATTATTATTGACGATCTTGTGTTTTTAAAAACTTTCTTCACAGAGGTCGCCCGGAGTTTGGCGCGATGTTAAGTACTTTTATAAACTTTGAGCCTATTTTTCAAGCGACACACAGCGGTCAGCAGCAAAGATCCATACAACGACGCTAGGCTTCGGTTGGTCGGACGGAATGTCTGCCTTCTATTGATTTCTATGGAGTTTACGATGTGTAATTAATAACAAATAGCCACATTAAAATCAGTGTGCGATCAAACACAGTTCACAAAATATTAATGTATATAAAAAATAGTTCTTAATTTTTCGCCGTCAGAGGAAAAATGAGTGTTCACTTCATTTTGACAGCTGTAGTTAAGTTTCAATAAAAGATGGCGTACGAACACTACATAGTTGCACGCGGATACATACAAATTGCTGAAATTGTTTGATCTAATCTAAATCTAGATGATTCCGTATCTGTTAAAACATTTCTAATGTTTTAATGTCAATTATTTTAATGTCTATTTATGTTAAAAGGTTCAAAATTCCTTAAATTTTGCAATATCTTATTAAATATTTCTATTTTAGCTAATGGCACTCTATTACAATATTCAAAAATTTGTAATAGACATTTTTTATGCAACAACACTGACAACCCTGCCTTGCGAAAGTACCTGTGTATGAAAAACAAAAGCAGCCGCATTCCGATTTTTTGCAACACCCGGCCGTTTGGCGTTTGCCGATTGCTGTTTTACGTTTTCCGTTTTTCCCGCGCGTGTAGACTTAACGTTGAAATTTAGAAATACCTAAATTGCAGTCTGCTGAGATCGCCACAAGAAGTTGTTTGTAATTTTAGAATATTTACTTGAAACAAACTATCAACACACAACTCCGATATAGCAAATAACCAATTACCAAAATTATCTGATTCATTGCCGTGTCAACTTCAAATTTTTTTTTATTACTAAGGAGGCAGAAATTGTAAGTAGATAAGTTAGAATATGTTATTCATGCTGTTTTATCTTCAAATGAGAGATTTTTTTGGATCGTGTCTAACCTTTAAAGTGTTTTTACTCTGTTGCAGTAAAGTATTAATCCAAGATTTGGTTTAGTAAAAACTACACGGCGCTAGCAAACGTACTACACATATTAGTAAAAGAAATAAATAACCCATAAAAATGCCGCGAATCGCAGTACGTAGAAAGGCCTCGACACCAATCGGCAACAATAACAATGAAGAATTAGATGCTCCGAAACGTAAACTACAGCGTACCGTTTACCAATTGCCATTACCCGAGAGACCACACGTGGTGGGACGTGCTTTGGTATGTGGACAAGGAGATATGGGCCAGTTGGGCCTAGGGGATGATGAGTCGAAATTCGAGCGTAAAAGACCGGCTCTGGTGGATTCTGTAGAAAATGTTGTTGATGTTAGAGCTGGTGGCATGCATAATCTTCTATTGACACAGGAGGGCACTGTTTACTCTTTCGGTTGTAATGACGAAGGTGCATTGGGACGTGATAGCAGTGAAGATGGTTCAGAATTTGAACCGCATCCAGTTGAACTACCAGGAAAAGTGCTAAAAATATCAACGGGTGATTCACATTCGGCCAGCTTGTTGGAAGATGGTCGTGTATTTGCATGGGGTTCTTTTCGCGATTCGCATGGAAATATGGGTCTGACATTGGAAGGAAATAAAAGGCTGCCAATCAATGTTTTACCTGGAATGGTATGCTGCGACATTGCATCCGGCGCAGATCATTTAGTTATACTTACATGCAGCGGCAAAGTATTCACCGTAGGCTGTGCTGAACAAGGTCAATTGGGACGCGTGTCTTTGCGGTCGGCGACTGGAGAAAGTGAGTATATATAGTGCACTTTCATTAAAAATGAATTGAAAAATTGAAATTAAATATTTTATAGGTCGTCGTGGCAAAACCGAGCTGCTTTGTCCAGGTGAAGTCGTAATAAAACGTGGTAAACCTGTCGAAGCTATTTGGGCCACGAATTACTGTACATTTTTGCGCGAGTCACAGACCTCTAAAATTTGGGCTTTCGGCCTGAACAATTACAAGCAGCTGGCCTATGCCAAAGATCTTGCAACTATTTTAAATCCAGTAGATACAAAATTCGAGAACGTTAAACAAATTGCCGGTGGACAGCATCACACATTAGTACTTAAAAATGATGGCTCCTGCTATTCTATTGGACGCAGTGACTACGGTCGGCTTGGACTGGGAACCTTAAATGGTGATATCACAGAATTACAACCAATCAAAGGATTGTCCGATAAGTTCGTAGTTTGTGTGTCTTGTGGTGAAGCGCAATCATTTGCGTTAACCGATGACGGTAAACTCTATTCATGGGGCATGGGTTCTAATTACCAATTGGGTACGGGGTCTGATGACGACGCATTGGAGCCCGTACAAATCATTAGTAAACAAACTGAAGGCAAACGTATTATACGTGTCTCCAGTGGAGGGCAACACAGTATATTTTTGGTTGAAAACGAAGTACAGCCAGCTAAAACGGATAAAATTGGCAAAGCAACAGTTACAAAGAAAGCATCAGCAGTAGCAGCTAATAAAGAGAAAGAAACTAAACACAAAGCTATCACAGAGGAGCAGCAACCAGCAGATTCTAGAGAAGATGTAGCAACAAATGGCGACACAAAAATGGAGGAAACCGACGGCGAAAGTACTAAGGAGGTGGAGCAAAAGGAGACTGCTGAAACTGGGAAAGGTGCTGCTAAGCGTGGACGTAAAAAGAAATAAGCAACTATTAGAAAGACTCCCAAGAATACAAATCATTTATAAGTAATTTGTTTCTTGTATATTTTTATATAATTATTAATATTCCGTCTGTTGACTGTTAATAAAATAGAACGTTAATTAATTAGTTATTGACTAGAGTGCACACACACTTACGAACTAGTGTGCGACTCTCTATATTATTGTTTATAAATTGGTATATAAATTGATTGATTCTCTTACAATTATGTAATTGAACATAATTTATTTCGAAGAACAATATACACTTTTTGTACTACACGTACATCTCATATATAGTTCATTTGGGGTTCTTAATAAAGCATGAATAAAAAAAAATTGAAATATTTGAAGTTTGTTTTTATATTAACCTAAAATTTTTTATTACCTATTATTTGGCTTCTTCAATGCTGTTGTTTATTTTCGCAGCTGCAATATTTCGCTCCTGAACCCCCTAATTAACATATATGTACATATGTTATAAAACAAAGTGGTGTGACAAGTTCGTTTTTATGCAAAATGTTCATTTATATGTACATACATACGTATGTTCGTATGTATTTATAAAATTTTGTATATCTTGGCATTTTGTATGTACAATGTTTTTAATAGTTATTAAATAGTCAATAATATGAGTAATTCCAGCAGTTAATATGTGTATATATTATATATATGAACGTGTGTATATAAAATTGGCTGTCTGTATGTTGAATTGTCTGTTAATAGATTTAAAATAGCAATCCTATGCGTTGTTTGGAAGTGAGAACGCATGTTGGTATACCTTAAACATGAAACTAATTAATTAAATTGAAACATCATTAGTCTATTGTCTGGGGACATAAAATATTCTAAAGAATTTTACAAATTTTAATATTATTTAATTTACAATATTTGTGCATGATTTCGCTCCACTTTATATTAAAATGCAAAAAACCTACCTCTCGATGACTTTTATGTTTGTGGCACAACACTAAATACATACATATATAATATTTATATACGCATGTCAGTTTAGCACACATTTCGGCGGCATTTATAAATCTTTTCACGTATAATACTACACTTGCATAGCCATATTTATATTGCCGCGTTAATTATTTAAGTTAGTGCATTATATAGAAATATATATTCAAAAAATTTGTGAACTTGTTCATGATTACATCAATTTGTTGGCCAACTTCTGTGTGCTTGCGCTTGTGTCCTCATATGTACCTCAATTGTTGTTGCTGGAGGTGTCATTGGTGGCGCTAAAGCGGTAATTGTTGTCCTCGATTCGGAGCAGCAATAGAACGAGATGAATATAATACAGAAGAGCATCGAAATTGTAATTATGATACGCGCGAATTTACGTGCAAATGCGATTAGACCAAGCAGGTAGCCACCACCAGCCACACCGCCCTTATCAAAAACAGCTTCGTCGTAATCCATGGCATCGCCATCGATGACAAAATCACCGCAGTCAATGTCGCCATCAGCTGCTACATTGCAGTCGCAAGCAGTTGTCAGCTCACCACTACTACTACCATGACCTCGTCTACGAAGTTTCTCCGCAGCAGTGGGTACCGGTAGGTGCTGCTTGGTCAAATTGCATTTTGAAAGTAAATATTATAGATTTCGGCTTTGACAATTGGCCGAAGCACTGCATTCCTCATCACCGATGCAGCCGGGCAGGTGATTTAGTTGCGTCTTTAGTAGATAAACGACCGCGACACAGAGTCCCAGTAAAAATACGAGCGTAATACATTGTAGAATTTGTGTAAATCTCAATTGGCTTTCCAGGAGTTTAGCTTGTGTTGACAGCTGTTGAGAGAATTGAGATACATGCCATTAGTATATACATATGTATGTGCGGAGGTAATTTTGTATTTGCAAATTCGATTTGTAAAAAAGCCAAAAGTTCTACTTACATCCGAAGTGTTGGTACTCTTCGTGGATGCAAAACCCTCATCCGGACCACCGTTGAACATTGTAGTTTTTCCACAGGCGCAAGTACCGGGTGTACTTGCTGCACTTGCACTGCTTCTGTAGTTGCAGGTTAAGCGATGTTGCTCCACATCATTGCCATTTTGAGGTTTCATTTTCCAAGCTTCACTCATACTTTGCTGTGATGGCTCTATACCCACAGGTGCTGGCATACACATCACGAGAAATTTATCCTTCGGCGACTCACCCAAATGATAGTCCTGCTTCAACATAATGTTCACCGAAACTGTCTCAGACGGTGCTAAATAGCCACAGCGTGGACGCACTCGAAATTTTTCTGGCGAAGTTGTTTGAATCTGCGTGTACATATGTATAAGTGTGTACATAATTAGGAAGAGGTTTTTCGCAAATGGAGAAGAAACTTACCTTATAAGTTATAGCCTGTTTTCCGATGCATGTGAGTTCTATTATGCTCTCGCTATTTTCGCCCCGATTGAAGTATATATTATCGTTTGGTGAAATTCTAAGCATTGTGCCTAAATGTTAAGAATTTTTGTTGAATTTTAATAAATTAAGAAATTCTAAATTGTATGTTCAATTTTGACAAAGTTTATGTATATTTTTTGTTTGTTTGAAGTTACAGGCAATAGCCTATTATTCAAATTTAAATGTTACATTCGCTGTAAAAATAATACCTGAACTATTTAATGGAATTACATAACCATGTAATTAAAAAATAAACAAGAAAAACTTGAACTTTGGTTGCACCGAAGCTAAAATACCCTTCAGATATATAGAATTTTCCATACAAGAACTGATTTTGATGGGTCAGTTTGTATGGGAGCTGTATGCTATATTGGTCCGATCTGAAAAATTTGTTCAGAGCTTGTACTCTTATCTTGGGCAATTGTCTTCGCCAAATTTTGTAAGGATATCTTGTCAAATAATAAAGCTTTCCATACAAGGGCTGCTATAATAGTCCGATATTAGGGGTTCCGACAAATGAGCAGCTTCTTGGAGAGAAAAGGACATGTGCCAAATTTCAGATCGATATGTCAAAAACTGACTCTAGTTCGCGTATATAAAGGCAGACGGGCATGGCTAAATCGACCCAGCACGTCACGCTGATTATTTTTATATGTATATTTTCATAGGGTCTCCGGTGCTTTCTTCTGAGTGTCACAAACTTCGTGGCAAAATTAATATGCCCTGTTAAGGGTATAAAAATAACAGTAAAAATTTGGATTTACACAATTTTGGAATACACTCTAATGAAAAATTTTACCTTATCTACTACAAAAATATATAATTCAGAACATATGAATACACTTACTCATTGGGTCCAAGGTTTGATAGCCTCGCTCACATTCCGGCATTTCAGCTCCCGCGTACATCCGGTTGTTGTTGGCAAAGTGTACCTGAAGAAAACGGTTTATTAAATATTTTTAAAAATATAATGACATAAATCAATATTTAAGTCGTTGTTGCAAAATATTTTTCCATTCGATATTATAGAAACACTCGGTCAACTATATTAACTTTCCATTACCCACCACAACTGTCGGCGAATGAATGCTGAAAGATTGGCAATTTACTAACGCATTGGGTTCGATTCAGTGTATAAAGACAAACATACAATTGTAAGATTATATGTGCATAATATTGTACTTTGTAACACTTTTTAAAGGACTTTGCTTGAGCATCAAAACAGAGGAAAGACTTGCAAATTGTTATACATATATGTATGTAGGTTTTTATCTGCAAATTTGTGCACTGTCGCTTTTCAGTCTTTTTAGTTCAATTTCAATGAACCCTTCATCATTCTATTAAGAGCTCTCAAACGCTTCGATTAAATGCTTACACTTTCTATTTTTGTATTAGGCATAGTATGTTTTTTATTTAATTTTATTACAAGTATAAAATACACATGCATATGTATGAATAAATGGGCATACCAATACTTAACACAATAACGGATATGTATGGTTTCCCTGCAAGGAAATACTTGCAAGTATACATTTTTTTACTTTCAACAGTTATTATAAAGCACACATAGTATAAAAATACATTATTATATTTTGAAATATAATCTCTTCAATGTAATATTGTAGTTCAGGTAATTCCTTTGTAAAGACAAGATAAAAAATTGGTTCTTTTTAACCGAAACGATACCACATTTATGTTTGACTAAGGACTACCATCACAATAACAGTTTTAGAAACTATTAAAGTATACTTTAGAGCAAGCGTTAGAGTTAAACTCAATAAAATATGTTCAATATGTAGTTAAAAACATTGTATTCAGTTGTTATTAAATGAGCTTCACAGCAAACTATTAAACTATTAATAACACTACCGTTCCCTTCCATTCATTCACTTCATTGCCAAAAATCCAAAACGGCTGGAAATATTTTGTGTTTTTATTCTTCTCTCTATTATGGTTGCTAATAAAATGTAGATTGGTAATATCACAGCGAGAAGAGGCCATACGTTTAAGTGAAATCATTATTCAAATTACTATTTCTTATTGTGGTTTATTCACGAAAATGTCATTTGTTCTTATTTATATTACTAGATTTGTTTTTGAAATTTTAAATGAAAATATTTGCAAAATTTTTTCAAATTTCGAAACGGTTGAAGATAAAAAAGAAACAAAGAAAACACTCTTAAATTTGTCAAAAACATTTCACATGCTATATTGTAAATATCTTTACACTTTTTCCGACAAAGCTGCACTTGGTCACCTTATTGAATTTTCTATGAATCGTTGAATTGATTTTCAACATATTTACATATAATATAAATATATATTTCAATCAAGCTTAGTTGATAAAAAAAAACAACACTTTTCTTACAGAAAAATACGTATTTATTTTAGAATTTCAGTTACTTTTGTTTTATTTTTACGCACCGGTATTAAAATAATTTTCAATAAACGCCCTGCTTATTTTGATCAGTCAGCACCACGAAACGCTTTTAAATGCAATAGAAATATTTCTTTTCTACATAAATTTGTCCGATTTACTTTAAAATTATTTGATTGTCGTGAGTTTTTTCTATTAAAGTTTTAGTTACAAATCATTTACGTACATTTTTGCAAAAACGACAAATTATTATACTAAAAACTACATACAAATGTTTAACTAGAAAATTTTGCAACTCTAATATTCACCTCAATAGTGTGGTAAGTGAATAACAGCTGTTCGCAATTCGAATTATAGACAAAATGCCAGATGTGTGAGTTATTGAGATATTTTATTTAACCGAACATAAACAAAATGTTGACTTGATTGCAAAGGAATGAAACGAAGCTGACATTTTTATATAATATTAAATGTTATATAGACTATCAGTGATGAGCCGCTTTTATGCTTTTATTAAAAATGATACTTAAATAAAAATTTACTGTTAAAGTTTGTGGAGATTTTGATAGTAAATCTGGGTAATGCATATTTTTATCAAATTTTTCACAACAGCTGTTTGCAAGTTTATTCATTTCGTTTCCTTGCCAAATCAAAATATGAGATTAGTAAACATGTTCAGTTGAGGAATTATATAGTGTGTGTTTTTGTTGTAACGTAAAATATGATCGGGCCAGTTTTAAGGAATTCTCCAAAAGTAAAGGTATCGGTTCTAGACTGGGATATATAAATTTGGTTAGCGTCGGTTGTGTCAGCCGCGACAGTCTTGGGAGTGTTGACACTGTCTACTGGGCGGATTCGATCAGATGGTATGAAAATGTTATACTTTTGAATTTACTATATTAATGGATGATCTATAAAGATGTCCACATTTTATGTTCTAATGATCCTAATCTTTCTATGATTTATACATACAAATATACGTAAAGATATACACAAATATATATGGGAACTCACAGAAATATGTACTTATATACACAAATAAATTATTAGTACATATATGTATATACCATGTACACATGTACAAGGTCAGCAGATTTAAGCCGTACTTATTGGTAATCTTAAAATTAAGCATATATGAACGTGATCACATACCCTGGGCATCTTGACAGAATATTAATTTTTTGCTGTTTCTCGTTTCCGTATTCTATACACACTGCCTGGATTATTCGCACAACAGTTGGTTGCCTGCTTGCTTAATTCCGCTAATATTTGTATGTGCTTTTATTTACTGAAAAACACTTTGTTTAGAAGCGTTTAAATAATTGCTATACTTTAACACTTCACAGATTCAGCCGATCGCGTTGCGAACATTGCCTCACACTTTATGTTTTTCTTTACCAAAAATAGGTATAATTTACATATATTAATATTATATTTGATGAAGGCAAATAAATCAGAATTTTATTACTTTCCTCACTCGAAATTCGTTCTTACACTCAAAGCTATAAATTTATTAACACATTATTTATATAAAATTATAAAAAAACATGCGTTGGTACATAAATATTAAGGCACAAACGAACCACTCACGAGTAACTAATGAAAGCGGCGCGGCAACCGAGAATCAACTGAAAACAACCAACAAACGACATCCATAGCGGCGGCATTAGCGTCGCCAGTGGCCAACATGTTGAGTAAATACATACATAGGTATCTGTACGAGTACATATTTATGCACATATTTTTAAACACAAAATACATATGATATGCTACTTATCCACATACATACACACATTCATTGATATAGCTATGTGAAAATGAAGCAATAAAAACAAAAGACAAAGAGCTTCAAATGCCAAAACAACAACTAAACCACCAGCAGCATTACGCGCTCCAACAATACTAAACACTTCAGTAGAATTTATACCAATAACAAGAACAATACATATCTCAAATTGTATATATGTGCACACACAGAACTTGCATGGCCTAGCAGAGAAATCGACAGGCGCAATTTCAATCAGGTAGATATGGCCTCAGGTAAAGAAAAGGTAAGTAGGGAGTGTCACCAGTGGTTATTTCAATTAGTACGTTATTCCATTGTATTACTTATGAATATGCCTTATTTAAAATAATTATTTGAAATTCAAAACGCTAAAATTTTTGTTTTTATTGTTATGATTAATTTCTAATTCGATACGAATACGAGTATATGTATATACAAGCATAAACAATATTTATTCCCACATGAGTATTAAAAATCTGGTAACGCAATCATTTCCAGAATCAAAAATAATTCAATTTTAATTACTCATTTAAATAATTTTTGTTATTGTAATTTTGTACTGTACATTGTGTTGTACTTAATTAATTAAATTAATTTTTGTTTTTGTATTTTTATGTTGTAAACCATCTGCGGAATTTCCTGAGATAATTTTCATATTTGCATAATAAATTTTTTTCGAAAACAAAGCAGCTGATTTGGAAATTTGACATTTTGTACATTTGTGTAAAAATACAAGAAAAAATCGTAACTTCTGTGACATTGGAGATATAATACACTTCACAAATACAAAAGTTTTCCATACAAGAACTTGATTTTAATCGATTAGTTTGTATGGCAGCTATGGAGGTTCGATTTGAATGATTTATTCGGAAATTATAGCGTTGTCTTCTAATAGTCCATGCCAAATTTTGTGAAGCTATCTGTCAATTATAAAAATTTTCCATACGAGGACTTTATTTGGATCGGACAGCTTGTGTAGCAGCTATAAATGTATAGCGGTTCCGACGCTGATCACGCCTTTTGGATAAGAGTTAGCCTTATTCAGGTTTCAAATACATTACATTACTTAGAAAAGGTCGTTTACTTAAAAATAAAAATTGAGAACACAAAGGTAAACTTAAAATTTTAACACAGTCGTTTTTTAGTTTGTTAAACTTAGTCAAATATAACGGCATCTTGGTAATATATCTTATATGTTACAGCAATATCCGTACATACAAATCTCAAGTCCTCTCTAACTTATTTTCATGGACGTTCGAAAGCTTTGTTTAAAAAAAACTTTCAGCCTTCTCATCGCAATTGTCTTTTATAGTTACATAACACTATATAATTTTAATAACTATTTAAAATCTCCCATTTTAATCGAGTTCTCTTGCCATTACTAGTGCTAACAGCATTTTCTTAAGCTTGGCCCCAGACATTTGCCACTGGGTTAGCTTACATTCATACATATAAAGCTTAAACCAGAAACGCAATCCAACGCAAACGACGATCAAAAGATATAACAAAACAATAAACAATAAAGAATTTCATACGGAGTGAAAAGCTCACCCAAAGAAATAGATGAATAAATGGGAATGATATGGAGGCAGATTGTAAGGTTTGACATATGTACATATAATGTTAGTATTACAAAGAGATACAAATACACACATTTGTGCATTCTATTAATCGAATATGCTTGAAGGAGAACTAGAAATTAGCGCGCCGCACAATTGAATATGTATGTGTGTATTGTCATGTGCAACTGTGTAAGCTAAATTTGCAAACAAATTGATATTTATATATTTTATAGTATACTTGTATGTATAAATACTTATATAGATTAGCTAACATTAAATAGCAATTAATTGTGAATTGAAGTTGGAATATAAAAAATTAAAAAAAGATCTATATATTTTTGTGTGTATATAAAATGATGAAAAAGAGAACAACAGAGTGGAATATGCGTTTAGATATACATATGTATGTATGTTGAACAGTGGTGGATCCACGAGGAGGTCAGCTACTGTTGAACTATTAAGCTTTAATGCGATTTGCAGCAATAAGTTTTAAAATTTCTATTGTTATATACATAGATTGAGATTACATTGTTCATATACATATGTACATATAGTACATACTTGTATATTGTAATCTGTTTATCTTTAGGCAAGAGCAGACACAAAAATGTACATACATATGTATCTAAAGTTTTATGAAACCATTAAATATGCAACTTTGAATTTTTAAGTGTAAGAATGCAAAATGTTCACATTGCGGTTGTGTTTTAGAAAAAAATATTAATTTCAATATATTAGTTCTTAAAAATTACAAAGTTAATTTGGATTCACTCTAAGTGTATACATATGTATGTATGTGATTTTCGGAGGCTTATAACAAGTGTATGGAAAATTGTATAAAGTCTTGGTTGGTTGTATTGACCAGGAGCCTATTTTGAAGACTAAAATATAGATTTATACATAAAATGTAGTTTTTTGTGAGTCCGGGTCTAATTTGCTCAGATGATATGTAGCACAATGGAACATTTGTAACTCACCGATGAGCGCTCTCTATTATTAGAATAGGTCATAAAGCAAAAAAAAAAAAAAATTATTAATATATACAGTATGCGAAAAATACAAAAGTGAGTAAATTTCAAAATCTTAAAAAAAGATGAATTTAATGAAATGGTTGCAAAATTTCAGATCGATATCTAAAAACTGAGGGACTAGTTCATATGGCTAAATCGGCTTAGCTTGTTACGCTGATCATTTATATAAAATATGTATTTTATGGGGTCTTTGACGTTTTCTTTTGGGTGTTACAAACATCGTGACAAACTTAATATACCCTGTTCAGGGTATAAGAAACCTACCGTATTACCTACATGGTAAGTATGGTACATACATATGTATATTGAATAATAAAATTTTAATTTACCATAAAGTTTTTAGACAATACGAGCTTTTCAGTTGCACTGGTATTTTCACACAACCATTTCTGTTCTGGATTCGCGCAAAAAAAAGTTATTTATGCCTTTTTAATTTAATTCATTCGTTTAAATATTCTTTGCAATGTGTTTATTACCATTTATTCTTCAGCTTCTTCTCGTTGCTCTCTCTTCGAGACTACTAAAATAAATAATGCATAATGTTCACGTGTGATTCACTCTGGATACGGAACTTTATATATACGTATGGTTAGATTATTCTACAACAAATCATTTACACACTTGAAGACTAACATCTTCACCACAAAATGTATGACAGTGCAGAGGGCGCTGCAATTCTCAACTTCGTCCAAGCGATTTTTGATTATTATTTTTTTATATTTACAACAATTTATTAGTATTGACTCTCTATGTAAGTTATTTAGGAACTTCACTTAAATATGAGTGTCAAATAAATGCTTACAGCAATAGTTTTCCAAATTCCTTTGCATATAATATAATAATCGCAGTCCCACTTGCTCCACAGTTATTATCGAAAACAAACGATGCCACAACAGTTGAAACAGAATTCATACGAATGGCAAAAAGCTCTAATTTTCTACCGAATCGACATTCGCCACAACAATTTAAGTTCTTTGATACCCCATGCTCTAAATCCTTATCAAGCAATCGTTTTTTGTTAAGGTTATGTTGAATATAAGCTCAGCTGACTAATATATAAATTAGTTATATGAATGGATGTATGAATGTACAATTTTACAAACATTACATTTGCAATTACATTACAATTACTATATGGTATCCAATCCATTGTAAGTAATCTATATGTCTTCAGCTCAATGCCGAAAATCAATTAGAAAACTAAAACGGCTACAATGCGTGTCAAAAATAGTTAAGTCAACTTTTCGCCAATAAAAACAAATATTATGGATTCCATTGTATATTGTCGATAATTGCCGAGATGTGTGTTCAAATAGAGCCACTATCTCGTCGCTTGCGCTAGTCGCGGCTCTCATCGCCGCAGTTAGTGGTAATTTGGCATTAGAGTTGAGTATTATTTACAGTTATATATGTATGTACAAATTTATATGACATCTTGGAACACGATAACGACAAGCGTGCTCTTATTTTGCTTTAAATCGAGCCTTTAAATACTATTGCGTAAGTACTTATGTCTGTTGAACATGCAACTATGTATAAAATACTGTCCCCTTCCGGTTTTCCGCTTTTGCTTATTGTCAATATGCTACACAATCCGATAGTGTTTAGTTAATGTTTTGCGTTGATAACTTTTAGGCGCGGCCTGTGTACACGTTTTTCTATTGTAGCTATTAAATGGTTGACCAGTAGGAAAAATTGACCTCATTCTGTAATGCTATGGATTGCATGGAGAGAGAGCATTAAGACCGTAGCTTAATTTTGTATATACAAAAATATGCAATTGAGATGAGATTAACTTGTAAATTGAATTCTTTTTTTTTTAAGGTTAAAAAACGTTTTAGTAACCTCTTAGTTATGTTTTCTATAAACTTTTGTAATTGATTTTAAGTGCTAAGTTCTTAATATGAAAGTATAAAAGATATTTGTATATTTCATTTTTTATTGAATTCATTCACAATAGTAAAACTGGTCTAAAATATGCAAAGCAAAACTCGGTACCATTGTTAATAGCGATTATACCAAAAGAGATGTCATCCTCTCTTATACAAATTAAATTCGATGCTTTGTTGCGTGCAAAGAAATGTCGAAGATAGCATTGAAAAGCTTGGAGTCAGTTTTTTTTCCGACAGGCCATTAGTTTTAATTTTAAGCGTGAATTTTTATCGTTAATCTGCCAAATAGGTAATTAAACCATGGTGTTTATAATTATCACAGAACTAAAATATAGTTATAACTATTTATGTTTTTATATAAATAAAGTTTTTATTTATTTAACAAGGTAAAATTGAAAAGACAATTATCCCCTAAAAGTATGCTATTATTTGCTAAATCACCTTTCTTTGGTCATATATATGCACGTATATTTTTAATAGCAATCAATTGTGATGATACACACACCTGCTTACCGATTAACATAATATAATATATCTAAATATGTTTTCGTTTTCTAATATTATTTTGCAAACACGTCTCAGTTCATATGATATACGTCAAGAGTCTTACTCACCTTCTTATCATTCGGCGAATCAGGGCTAATTGGCTCGCTTGGCGGCGCTCCATTAGTTATCACAGTCAGTGTAGTAGGTCTGCTCAACTTTTCTGGCACAAATTTGAATTCGTACAGGTCATTGCCACCCCAACTGGCAAGGCAATTGGCTTTGTCGATATACTGATTTATGTCCTTCTTCGATATCATTTTGAGTATTTCCAGCGCTTTGGCAGGCAGAAAACCCTTTATGATTTTGAAAGCCGCTGCAAAAAGAAAAATTAACAATCAAGAACTTATGCACCTTGAAAACTAAATTTCATTCTACCATTCAGCACCCATGCCATTTCGAAAATCAATATGTAATTCAGTGCATTCGGATAATACATTTTGAAAGTCTCGATGATGCGTTTTACAAAGTCCATATCCATGCTGGACACGCCGGTGCCGGCCATATCGAAGAAAATCGTCATTTTATCCATATCTGTTTCGCGTTGGATTCGCTCGATCCAATAAACTACCACGCGAATTACTTCGTCCATATTCTTGGTGCCCTTCACGTGTAGCTTGGTTCGGAATATGAGCAATGTCTTGCCATCCAAGTCTTTGTTACGTGCAAATACAACTCCGTCGTGTAAATATTCCTTAACCAAATTATTTTCGTTTAGTTCATTTGTGCCATACTCTTGTCGCCATATACAAGTGTCCCAAAGCTTAACCATTGATATCTGCATGTCCAAATCGTACATTTCGAGGAAACGTGTTAGCCACATATCTCCATTGCGTATACGGTCGAGATCGATGTGATGGAAGGGTACTAAGAAATAAATTAAGCAGAACAATAAATTTTATGTTAACGCTGGTTTGATGGATTTTGAGAAGTTTTTCTTTGTCAAACTAGAAGAACGAAAAAGATTATATTGGTTTTGTCAAAAAACAAAATTGTGGATAGTAGTTCTATCATTAGCTGTATGCATCTATTGCAATAATATTTATTTTTGGTTTTTGCATATGAGATAATTTTGAGCAGAATAATCTTTCACACTGCCAGGTTGGCTTTTTTGGTGTTACTTCTGGAGATTATTTATATATTAAATAAAATGTCTAAAAAAACAAAATGAAAATATCTGCTGCATCAAAGCTATAATACCCTTCACAGGTGTATTTTTTATAGCATAACTCTACGCCCAATTTCGTAGCGATATCTTGACATATAAAATAGTTTTCCAAACACGGATTTGAGTTTGATCGACCTTGGATAATAACCTACGCCAAATATCTTGAAGATACCTCATCGAATGAAACATTTTTCAGTTTGTAGATCGGCTATATGCTATAGTGATCTGATGTTGGCATTAATGAAATATGTAACATAAGTATATTAACCGACATTTTAGGCATAAGGTCAATCAGAGGTCTTTTTATACCCTCGCAACCTGTTGCTACAGAGTATAATAGTTTTGTTCACCTAACGGTTGTTTGTATCACCTAAAACTAATCGAGTTAGATATAGGGTTATATATATATAAATGATCAGGATGAAGAGACGAGTTGAAATCCGGGTGACTGTCTGTCCGTCCGTGCAAGCTCTAACTTGAGTAAAAATTGAGATATCTTTATGAAACTTGGTAGACATGTTTCTTGGTACCGTGAGACGGTTGGTATTGCAGATGGGCGTAATCGGACCACTGCCACGCCCACAAAACGCCATTAATCAAAAACAAATAACTTGCCATAACTAAGCTCCGCAATAAGATACAAGACTGTTATTTGGTACACAGGATCACATTAGGGAGGGGCATCTGCAGTTAAAACTTTTTTTTAAAAAGTGGGCGTGGTCCCGCCTCTAATAGGTTTAATGTGCATATCTCCTAAACCGCTAATGCTATAATAACAAAATTCACTAGAAGGAAATGTTTTTAGCACTTCTATTGACGGTGTGAAATAGTTGAAATCGGGTGGCAACTCCGCCCACTCCCCATATAACGGTACTGTTTAAAACTACTAAAAGCGCGATAAATCAAGCACTAAACACGCCAGAAACATTAAATTTTATCTCTGAGATGGTATATGGCTTTATAGGAACCGCGTTCAAAATTAGTCAGTGGGTGTGTCACCGCCCACTTTTAGGTGAAAACCCATATCTTGGGATCTGCTCCACCAATTTCAACCAAATTCGGTGCATAACATTCTTTTCATGTTTCTATGTCAATGGGCGAAATCGGACTACAACCACGCTTACTTCCCATGTAACACCATTTTCAATTCCATCTGATTCTTTCACTTTCCACTATGCAAATCAGGTAACAATGATTATATCGGAGTAAAACTTTGCGTGAATAATACGTTTAAAGTATGCCACCTTGTGACCAGAAATTGTCTAAATCGAACCAAAACTGTTCAAACCCCTAAGTACTAAATATGTGGACCCCAATGCCTATAGTTGACCTTCTACCGAAAATATCAGTCAATCCACAAAGAAATCTCAAACGAGTACACCATTTGACTTTGCGAGAGTATACAATGTTCGGTTACATCCGAACTTAGCCCTTCCTTACTTGTTTTAAATAACTTCATTTATACGATTGTATAACTATTGCATTCGACTAACTACATATATATGTTGGTTATCCTAAACATTCCACGAAAGTGTTCTCACGATCCGACAGTTTTTGCAATGTGTGTGGAGAATTAAATTTTAAATATCAGCGGACCCATCCTACATAGTACCGAATTGTTAAAACCTCTAAATCGATCAAAAAATCTATTCTACTCGATTCTACTCCGGAACTTGTAGCACCATGAAGAAAAACTGAATGAGCAGGAAAAACTATACTGAAAATGTTTTGTGGACATTGTCCAAGTTTTTGTAGGAAACCATGAATCGGATAAATACAAATACTTGATAAATGAGCTTTTAATGTCATATAATGCTTTGGGGTGCAATGTGTCCTTAAAAATATAAATGCTGGATTATTTTCGGCAAATTTGTGAGTGACGAACAAGGTGAGAGGTTCCATTAAGACATTTCCTTAATGGGGATGTACTATAAAAGGGAATGGAGCACAGGAATGCCAGCAGATTATGGTTGGAGACTTAAAAGAGAAATTCATTGTCGTACATGTTCAAACATGTCCGCTTTATTTTTAAAATATCACACAAACTGGACGGCATATACGGTATAAATCAGAAGGACGAAAATCATATATTGGATATATTGCGGTTAGGCAAAGGTCAGTACAGATCTAATTTACTTTTTGCATTATACTGAAATATGCTCGATATAAATTCCATTTTTATTAAAATAAATCACACATTTAAAAATATATTGAGCGAATATCAATGTAATAGGTACATGCGTGCTATTGTAATTCAGAAAAAGATTTCACCAATTTTAACACCCAACTACAGTATCCTCATCTAACAATATTTTCACTTATGGCTTACTTATTTGCATATTTATATGGCGTCAATCCGGAATTCGAAAATCATTGTATTCGGTATATTGGATTTTCATGATTCAAGCGCTGTAGATCAATATAAAGTAAACCGTTACATTAAATGAAAAAGGTCGAAGTTTTCTAAATTTTTTCTTGTTGGTAATTTCCGTTTTGAAAATAATAAAGGCTAACAGTATATCTCTATACTTTATAGTACCAATTAATGAAAAAACAATGCAAAGTCCATCAAAACCAAAATAATAACTGATTGCCACTTTCAATCGCTTGTTAATCTTATCTATCTACATATATACATATATGTACATATACATAACATATGTATGTGTGAAGATATGATAATAAGTAGCGTATAATCTAATGGCACAACTAAGCGCTTGCTGAACAATAAGTTCCTTAATGAGAAATTTTAATTACTCATAAATTGAATACACAGCCATTAATAGGTACCCATCTACATATACGTACATATGTTCTTTAGTTACAATTAGTTCGCTGGAAATTATCATCAAGGTAATATGTTGAAGATCACACAAAAGTTTAGGGGTCAGACGACAAGCCCATAAAATAAGTGCCACTGACTTTTACACTACGAACCCGCAGTATTTGCTAATTTGAGCACATATAATATGGTGCAAACATAAATATTCCATTAGGGGTGTGCCGTATAGCATTTGTTATTTAGAAAAAAATGTACAATATTTAATTAAATTAGCAAAGCACTTATAACAGCGTTTATGGATGGTTTTATGAGGGTTGAACCTTTACTCAACGATTGGTCTTGAACAATGTATTAAAAGTATTTAGTTTTCAATAGAAACGCCTATGTTTATGAGAATTTTTGTTTACATATCAATTATTTGTAATGGCGCATAAGAATCTTTATTGATATATAAATAATTTGACTTTTTTTTAAGATTTAAAGAGGCATTCAAGGCTTCTTCGTATTTAAAAAGCAAATATATAGTATTTTCTAATATAAGAGGTGCATTATTCAGTCCTAATCTTTCTCCTGAAATAACGAAAGATAGGCAGGTCTTTATTATTGTCCGTGTCACTTCAGGTTTGTTATGATTTGCTAATCAATTTTACTTGGGTTACCCTTAGATGTACTTTACGATATCGCTTACTGAAAATAGGCAATGCAATACAAATTTAAAAACTATGCGAATTATTTGTCCGACCCTAATAAAGAAAGTACCACAAGTTAGCAAAAATATACATACTTGTGGTAGCATCTGCATTCACTCAGTCAGTTAATCAATTGCACTGTTGTATAAAAAAATTAGATTACATTTCACGACAGTAAGAAGGGTTAGGAACCGTTTATACAACCATTCTGTTTGCTTGGGGATACGATAAAGATTTTAGAGAAGATAAAGTGAAAATTAAATAAGAAACGGATCAACATATAATCGACTAGTACATTAGAAAATGGTCAGTGTTTATAATTGTAGTTGTTAAGCAGGACATCGTAAGAACTCAGATCTTAAGTGTGTAATGAAAATTATGAACCGAGACCTCCCGAGAACTTTTTTGAAGGCATCTAAAGATAGCGTGCTTAATAAAAGGGGTTTTCAGCCTGCACGGCATATAGGTAACGTACAAACAAATATAATTTTTTTACGTATATACATATGTAGATGTACAATCTCCACTTCAACTAATATAATTTCTAAGCCTAAAAATTAAAATTTTGATTATTTAAAGTGTCTGCTTTAAAGTAAAATACGACGTATATGTTTTTTGCGATTTCTAAAGTTTCAATATTATCTAATTGTTTGTCAGCACAAATCAACTGTGCAGACAACGAAATTGTTCCTTAACTACTATTTATTTTACAAAGTACATACCTAATAACCAATTAGTATTGGCAAATAGTTTATTGCTCAACTAAATACTAATACAACTGTAGAACGCTGAACAAGTCTACAGTTACTACAATTTTAGTAGTATTATTAATACAACCAAGAATAATATTAATCATATATTACGGCAGGTACGACTCGTTACTATTTTTGAGATGCTTTTGACATAAAAATAAATTCAAGGGTTTGTTTACAATTAGCATGAAAGTTTGACAGTTCGTGTCGGTTATGACGTTGCGGCAGTCTCGGATGATTTATACAAGTAATTGATACAATATGTGTGCTGATGCTCTGCCGATTCTAAAAAATGCAAGGGGTTGGCACAGTCTAAATCCCTCAAAATATATCTAATTTTGACAATTCATTCCAGGTGCAAGGACAAGGGCTCGAATTTCTCTTCGTCAAGCTTTATAAAAAATTTATGTGGGAGTAAACAAGATTTTTAGTGTCATTGTCATACTGATATGTATAAAATTATATATTTTTTTGTTTATAAAAATTGCAATAATATTTATAATACTACATTTGAAAAAATTTCAAGTGCAACAGGCCACAGCCTTACAGTGGATTATATATGAAAAACATTTTTTTTATGCTATTCCACCAAGTGAATATAGTTTTTAGAATTTAAAATTAGAATAATTGAAAAAATCGATGTTTTGAAAATCGTAGACTGACCTAACCTTTAAGTCACATTTGAAAAGCTGTTGGATTTTTATAAGAAGTTTTTTTTTGAGCTGGAAATACAAATTATAGGTTTTACATTATGTAATATCATTTTATTAAGTAAATTTTAGATATTTTAATTTGACGTCTGGGATTAGAACTAAGAAAGCATCAAGTAATATTTACACACTTAAGTCACTTGTCAACTGTGTGGCTACTTATTTTATACAAAACATTATATATGCAAAATATTTGTATTATAATTATTTGTTTACATTTATACTTATAAGGGGAAGTATGCTCTCTGTCAAGGTGTTGTATTCAAATTTGTTGATAAAATCCTACTATCTATTGTTGTTGGAAACAAACCTCTTTAACTGAATAATGGAAGTGACCTCTCAATTTAATGCAACAAAAGTTTACTGTATTGATTTATTTTCTGGATTTTTATGGTATATGTTTCAACACATGAAAGCATTTTCTTATGACAAAAGCTCGATATTCAGTCATAAAATTTTGCCAAGCTGACAAGCTCAGTGCAAGGTAATTAAGTCACTGCATTGTTGCTTACCTGCGGGTGGACTTTGCTCGTATTTTTCGTTGAATAAATTTCGCAGCTCGTCGATCTGGCTTTTGGTGGGTGTTTGCACTTTTACTGGCATTTTCAATTTCGTTTTCTTTTTTTCACTAACTAAGTAAGAAGGCACTATAAATTATAATAAATCACTTCACATTTGCTGATTTAGCGCTTAATTTTGTATGACAAATGGGTAAAACGAATAACTAGTCGTATAAAAAAAATTTCACTGCACTTCCGTTAATCGTATCCGTATCGTTTCAGCGCCGAAATTGTACTGGGGCGCCGAGCACTACGCTATGACGACTTACAATCGCCACAACTCAATTGTTTTCTCCATTCTATTTAATTGTAAAGAGTGTTTACTGCATCAAACAAATTTGTATATTGCACATATGTACATACCTACATATGTAAGGGCGTGTGTATGTATGTATGTATGTACGTCCGAAATGTACTCACAGGCTTCAGTTTGACGGCGGCGAAAAACGCGCGCTTATCAATGGGCGACGATAGACCGCTTCGAAATCTAATCGTATATGAATTTACCGTATGCCGGTATGTATATGTATGCACATGTGTGTGTGTATTAAAATTTCGTTTACATTAATTCGTAAAAGAAACCGTTGTTTGATAAGATCACGCTACTGATAGAGTGAGTCTCAATATACATATATTTGTATGTACAATATGTATATGTATGTATATGGACGGACGCGTGCTGGCGCTGCTCACCGCTCACTGCCAAGAACCGAACTGACGACAAATTGGATTTTAATGCAATGCAATGCGAATGCTATATACATCAAATGATAAACGTGTAGTATGTATGTATGTATGTTTTAAAAAATGCAAACATATAAAATATAGGCAACTAGGCAACAAAAACAAAAGCTTAAGCTTATACCAAATCCATTTTCGAGGTCGCCGACATTGGCAGATGCGCTACAATAATGAATAATCAAAAGTTAAAAAACGATTAAGAAGAATCGAAAAGCGAAACAAACGCTCGAAAGAAACTTAACAAATAAAAAATTAAATATAAATAAAAATAATAACTATAAAAAAAAATAAAAAAAATACTAGAAAATAATAATGCACACCGATCGACGACCCACATATACAATATGCATTATATGGCAAGTTAGCTAATATGGCTTGCGAAGCTTCGAAAATAGATCAAACGGCAAAATGCGTAAAGCATGTTTTGAATTTTCAATTAGAATCGGTACAGCGACCCGCTTCCGAGCACACAATTTGTATGCCACTGACACACGCATACACAGTCACACGCGCTCACTTAAATTCATAAAAGTTTATAAACTGTGCTCATATTGAGTCGCGTTCTATACTTGACGGTATTCGTTTGTGCTTGCTCTCCGGCTGGCCTTCACGGCTATCATGATCGCTTTACCGGTTTATAAGAGTCACAGCAAAGCTGACGCACTGTCTCAGCGGTTGAGCGGTTCTCATAAAATAACTGTTTGTTGGTATGAATGCAGGTAATTTGCGATAATTGTTGCAGCCGAAGCGGTTGCTTGACAGCAATCAGCCGGTTGTCTAGGAAGCGTCGTCACTGCTGAGCGGTTCTGCGCGCCCAGTGAGCGTCCGTTGCATTTGTGAATGCGCCGAATTGCTTGCTCGCTCACATTGCTCGATTAGTTGGAGCCATCGCGTGGTTCAGCTGGAACGCTTTCAAGCTAAACAATCGACAGGTGTGTTTATGGTGGCACTAAGTTCGTTTCGAAGGTTTTATTGATTAATATATGTAGGTATATGAATGCATATATGTAAGTATCTATAAGAGTATCATGTCAGCTGTTTGCTTTGTTTACGTTTCTAATGATATGCAATCAAAGCGTGCAAATTACGTTTATTGGCTCGTATTTGCATATTGAGTGACTTGAGGTGATATGATGATACTCAAGTGATTATAATAATTAGATTATAATAAATGATGATTTGAGATTATTCAAGGTAAACTCTTCACAGGTATGTATATAAATATCTTAATCAATTAGACGAAGAATATGCATATAATAGTTTTCGATTCAGTCTCATTTCCTCTCTGTTTGTGTTCTGCTCTCTTGTAAAAAACAATCAAGTTATTCAGCTGATTTCAATAAAAGCAAGTGTGGATGCCTTATTAAAGTGGTATAACTGCTTGCTGAACTGTCTGTACATCTACATATATGTCAGCTAGTGCATTTATACCGGTTATGTGGTCGTTTTAACACTGTCCACATTTGGCGAATCGATGGCAATTAAATGGTCGTTATTATTATTTCTTCGAAAAAGTTACAAATTCCACAGTATCGAAAGAAAATAGCTATGATAGCAACAAAAGCATATAAACAAAATAATCGATTTTTTATGATTTTATGAAATTATTTTTCGACAATTTGATAGTTATTGAGGTAAGCAGAGGTCCTAAAAATTAGCCATATATGTACATACGAGATGTGTTAAAAAAAGTAACGGAAATTTTCGATTTAAAAAAAAAATTTTTATTCATTTGTCTACATTCATGTTGTCGCATTGAAAATAGTCTCCATTCGATATGACGCACTTATGCTAGCGCTTCTTTCAATAGTCGAGACTAATTCTCAAACTCGATTTTTGGTATTGTCTTTAGCTATTTCAGCGCTACGCTTTAAATGTCTTCTATGCTTGTCAAACGATGGACCTTTAAGGTTCTTTTTATTTTTGGAAATTGGAACAAGTCACACGGAGCCATGTCTCGCGAATATAGAGGCTGGGGCATCGTACAATGTTGGTTTTGGCCAAGAATGCACGCACAAATTCTTTGATCCATTTCTTTTAACAAACGAGCATCACCAAGCTTATTACAAACACGCCTAACCTTAGCGGCTGCTAGAGACAATGTAAGCAATGAATACAACTCAAAATTGTATCCTCGTGGCATTTACATACATAATAATAATTGGACTCTCTAAATTTGCGAAATTTTAATTTCAAAAATCCGGTTATTTTTTTTAAAACAAATGACTGAAAGAAACATTTTTTTGAAAAAATTGAAAATCAATATCGATATAATACAAAGGATGGTTTTTCTTCAAAACGTCTGAAATAAAAATTTTCATGAGAATAGTTTTCCTAAAGTTAACTTAAACTATGTATTTTTTAATTGCACCAATTGGTTTTAATAATTAATTGTTTTTGAGTTGTCAATACAACTAAAAATAGGTTGCTAAGATCTCCGTGAAGGTTCCAGGATTGCTGATCTTGTCGCTTAATTCATGCCGTTCGAGAAATATTTTTGGTTTATAACTATATTCGTGTGAAATTTGTGCCTTCATTGCTTTAATATGACGAAAACCTCGAAATAAATTCCTTTATAGAGAAATTGAAACCGCATGAAAATTGAGTTATGGGCGTAGTAAAAAATCATGGTGTTTCTACATGTTTGAGACCTTCTCCGAACAATTTAGATTATCTGCTGTTTTGGGAGTGGAGTACACCATCCTATAATTGGCACTCATACTCTTATTCACTTGCTCATATTTTCCCAATACTTTCGAGAGTTATGGAAAATAGTTGTTAGTATAGACAGTAAAACAAAACCGGAAATTTTTGTTGTTATTGTGATTCAATTTGTTATAATTACTTTTGAAAAAAATGTAATAAAATCAGAAAAGATATTACCAAATTTACATAAAATATTTTCTTATTTAATATATTGGATTTTTTATGCGTATACTTTCACATACAAATATATTAATATCATATAAATAATATTGCTTATATTCTGTTTGAATTTAATTTTCGCTTTCCTTTAACACTAGAACTACGACGATTTATCATATACCTATTCCAAATAGGTCTCTCTCTTTCTCTGAAAATTATGAGCGGAAGAACAAAATAATTTATAATATTATTCTATACACAAATTTAATAAAAATCATAACATTATCGTAAAATGATAAATAGGAATAAAGAGGAAATGGTATAAATAAATTATGTCATATTGACCGGTTCGTAGTTCTTGTGTTAAATATGTACTTCTTAAAGAGGAGAGATTTAAAAATATTACTTATTCATAATATAACTGAGAAAATATTAAAAATTATTTTCACATTTAAAGGAAAATTTATATTTTTTCAAAAGCTTCAACGGCACTAAAAAGCCATGCAAAGCACAAAAGCTCTGCTCTAACCATATGTTTTCCGACAGTTTTACTTTTCATCTATTTTGGACTCAATGTGTGTATTTGTACTGAATGTGATTGTGAAAATGATGCGGATGCAGCGTTTGCTGTTAAGTTATTTAGTGAAATTATAGTGAATTAACACGCTGCGTTCGTTAAAATGAAATTTGCCGAACACTTGAGCGCGCATATAACACCGGAATGGCGAAAACAGTACATAAACTATGAGGTATGAATGGCATTCTCGACGCGTTTTATTTGCGTTTTCGGTTTGTTGGCCAGTGAAAAGTGAAAATCTTATAGATACTGCTGCAGCGGGTGGGCGCTCACTGACAGCTGTTGTCAGTTGGGTGGGTGACGTCACAAAAAGCTCGATGGGCAGCTGTCAAAGTGAGGAGCTTTTATTTTGGCGGGAAAATGTGGTTTGTGTAATGCGCATGACCGTAGGCAGACACCTGTTGCAGTGTGTTTAGAAGATGGTGATGTAAACAAAATGAAAAACATGTGCTGTAATGTGGATTGTTTACAAACAATCAATGTAAACAGACTGAGCTTTCAAGTTTGAGAAGAAATGCGAGAGAGAGGCTGTTTGGTATTATATATATATGTATGTATGTAATATGTGTATATGTATGGTTTTACATATGTATATGTATTTACGCAATAATAATAAGTGCTTTCAACTTAATATATACTTATGTATATAAACTTTGTTTCTAATAAAAAATAGTACAGTCATGTGTGTTATAAAAGCACTGGCTAATATTATATATAAAGCTTTTATCTTTTAGAAGTAAGTTTTGTTAGAAACTCACCAAAAATGATTATTCTTTCTGCAGGAAATGAAGGCAATGCTGTATGCGGCCGTGGAGCAAGCGCCCTCCGCTGAGCTTGTCGATCCGGAGGTGCTGTCACGTTATTTTGCCAAATTCGATGAACAATTCTTCCATTACTGCGACAAGGAGTTAGCCAAAATCAACACATTCTACTCCGAAAAGATGGCTGAGGCCACGCGCAAATATGGCAATCTCCGCAGTGAACTTAGCGAAACGCTAGAGATGGGCGCGGTGAAGAAACAACCTGCCTGGAAGTCGAAAACACCATTGGGCAAGAAGAATGTGCCAGCGCGCAAAATACAGGATCTCAAATTAGCATTTAGTGAATTTTATTTGGGTCTCATTTTACTACAAAACTACCAGAATTTAAATTTCACCGGTTTTCGTAAGATACTAAAGAAACACGATAAGCTCTTGAATGTTTGCGATGGTGTTAAATGGCGTGAGGAGTATGTAGAGGCGGCACATTTCTATGTTAACAAAGATATAGATCGTTTAATTCATGAAACCGAGCGCGCTTTCACCAACGATATTGAGGGCGGCGACCGGCAGAAGGCAATGAAGCGTTTGCGCGTACCGCCCTTGGGCGAACAACAAAGTCCGTGGACCACTTTCAAAGTTGGTCTTTTCTCGGGCGCTTTTGTTGTACTCTTCCTTACCGTCATCTTGTCAGCTATATTTCATGGTTTTGGCGATGATTGGCGCGTGGGTCTGCGCATGTTTCGTGGCCCCTTTCTCATGATTGAGTTTCTCTTCTTGTGGGGCGTCAATGTGTATGGCTGGCGTTCGTCTGGCGTTAATCATGTGCTCATCTTTGAACTGGATCCACGTAATCACTTGTCCGAGCAGAATATCATGGAAGTGGCTTCGGTATTTGGCGTAATTTGGGCTATTTGTGTGCTCTGTTATATTTATTGTGACCCTTTGGGCATACCACAATATTCGGCACCCATTTTTCTTTACACTTTGATGCTTGCATTTTTGCTCAACCCAACGAAGACATTTCATCACGAGGCGCGTTATTGGGCCGTACGCGTGCTGAGCCGCGTGGTAATGGCACCATTCTTCTTTGTGACATTTGCGGACTTTTGGCTGGCCGACCAATTGAATAGCATTGTGCCTGCCTTCCTCGATATACCCTTTATTATTTGCTTCTTCGGTGAGAATCCCAGTTGGCATAAAACGAGTTATGGTGAGTTGGTACCTCATTTGTGTACATATTTCGATTTTTATTTATTTAATTTTTAATTTCGAACAGGTGGCAGCACTTGTGTGCAGGACATATCCATGGTACGTCCAATTGTCGCTATTTTGCCGGCTTACTGGCGATTCGGTCAGTGTATCCGTCGCTATCGTGATACACGTGAAGCTTTTCCGCATCTGGTTAATGCTGCTAAGTACGCGACATCCTTTTTTGTGGTGATATTCTCATATAAGTTTCAGATAACCTCAGGTGAGTGAAAGCCATTGTGGAATTTCAGATATTTACCAGCTTTTAAGGGGTTTGAATTGTATATGTGTATGTGTGTGCGACTACAATGAATCCAACAACAAAGGAATATATTTGAAACATGTATGTATGCTAGTTAATCTCTTTGAAATCGAATAAGTTATGTATAAATATCTTTGAAATTTCGTTCAACTATGTCGTATGCCTTTGGGAGATGTAGCATGGCGCTTAGCATCTAATCTGCTTTGAATTAATTTCCGCCTTCTTTAAATGTTTGGTAAATATTAGTTAAAAGTGTGAATCTATTACAAACAACCAAAAGAAAGGATATCATTACATTGAGTAAAGGGGGTTAGATGGCGTTAGATCTTGACTTAAAGCAGATATCCATTTATAGCACTACTTGTAGACCACTCTATTGCCAGAAAATGATGATCATATAACTTCTCTAAAGTGTCTTGCGAATCGACTGATATTTAAGGTAACATGAAAACCATAGGTTCGGGTTCCATATATTCGTTATCTTGGATTTGAAAATTTAGACCATTTTATTTGGACTACAGTTTCCACACATTGCAGGGACTACATTGCGGTGTTACTCCGCCCTTTTCAATGTAAAGTGAAATAATCTAATAGAATTTTAAATGTTATCATATGACACACTGTTAATTGATCATATAGTCACTTTCTACTATGTCATTGATCAGTTTATTCAAAATGACTTTATTTCATACCAATAGTTCAGTTTTTGTGCTTTCAATCAGCAAATGATAAATTGGGTAGAGGGGATGTCTAATTAATTTTTCATGTATTTTCTTAGAAGGCATACTTTTTGCAATCACAATGGCTTACCAGCGTCATTGCCAATACTCTGATGGCAATATAAATTCTGAAGGCATTATTAAATTAAATTTCCATTATTTGCCATAATTTTGAAAACCTCCCAAAATTTTTTTGTGGATCAGTTTTTTGAATAATAAAATTAATTAAAAAATAAAACTTAAATGCATGAATATTTTTTTAAATTTATTGGTTAATATTGTTGTGCAACATTTTACTTAATTTTGTCATTCATACTTAAATTGTGTTTTAAACTATCATAAGAATAATTATCAATTTCGCTTATCCGCAGTAATCAGTTTTAAGTACTTGCTGTTATCCTTAATTTATGCTCCAAAAGTTAAATTACTTTCGTTAAAAAAAATATTTCCAAAAAAAGTTAACAGAGGAAGATTTCAGTTGAATATAATCTAAATGCTTTTTCAGAGTTATTTTGCTTTGTGTTTTGCCTGTTTATGAGTAAAGTGAAATTTAGTTAGTCACATCCAAAACTCTTGCCACAAAACAATAATGAAAACCGAAAGCGCCTTAACTTTTCAATGTTGAACACATGTGTATGTGTGTGTGTATGTTTGTATATATGTCTGCAAATAAGTATGTGTGTTCCTCTAATGAGATTTCTATGGAATGGACAGAGTTGTGACGAACCTCAGATGTTGTCATTTATTTTCAAGTGTACATTTATGCATGGAAAAACATAGATATGTTTCTAAATGATTTCTATAGAAGCTAACATTTGAGGGAAAATCATGTTGCAATGCTATAAAAAATACAAAGGGTGCATTAATAAAGACAGGATATGAAATTGCTTAAAAAAGGCTGTGTATGAAAGCTAAACAAAGAAAATTGCTACTCCTTCAGATACATAAGAATAAATATGAAACGTGATGATCTCCTCGAGGAAGCTACGGGCCAAAGGAAAGGGCCATCCCATATGTATTTATTTAGCCTGTTAAATAAAATATTTTTATGTTCATCCCAATTCAAACACCCTATAGATATATGAATATTTATATATGCTTCTAGTTAGAGGGTGTGAGGGGATTATCTACAAGAAATTCACCCGCTGACTTTCACATAAAATCAGTACCTCACCACCTTAAAAGTTAAAATGTGAAAGGCAAAAATATATTATATGAATAAGAAATGTTTAGGAAATTAAACATTTGATTGTAACTGAAAGGTTGTTTCTTAAATTTACCGTTATCGTCCTTTTTAATTTATTATAAAGTATACAACAAAATTTCTTTAAATAGCGAATGCAAATTAACTGAAATAATATTCCTCAACCGTTATCCATATTAAATAAGAAAACTACCGTAAAATGAAAACACGGCAGAGTTTTGAAAAAAGTTGTTCCACTGGGATTAGGAAATATGTATATGCAAATTTTTAATAAAATTTGACATCAAATAAAAAGTGCAAAGGGTTCGCGTGTTTTATCACGTTGCCTTGGTTGCAGTAGCGGAAGTTAGCAAAAACACTTACTTTATGCCATACTTCTTTACAAATAAATGTGTGCTTGTGTGTATAATTACTATCGAAGATAGATAGATAGATTTAATTAGAGGTATGCATCGCGATATATGGTCTATTGTGTCCTCTCCTAAGTCACAACGACTCATCTAGACCCAGCATGTTGATAAAAGATAATAACCAAATGATTATTATAATAAACTAGAAACAGCAGTACTTTTTTTATTAAAAGACAACCAGTAAAAGTATTTGGTATCTCAGGAGAACAAGCAATTCTCAAGCATGCTATTCATAACATATTTATCATACCAAAAAGTTTCAAATTTCACAACAAAACTTAATTAAATCCTATAGTTGAATAGAATACTAGCTTAGACTGGAATAGACGGAGAGGTGCAAAAAGAGAACTTTGTGTTATTATTTTCCTACAAACAAGATACCAGATTGTGCATTTCTTTGATGCTTATATGGATGCCATAAGTTGTCTATAATTAAACCAACTACCGGTGTTGGATCTTCGAATTTGTAAAGAAGAGAATCACATTAAACCGGAAACAACTTTTCTTCTTAGAAAATATACAATTTTTTTTGGAGGTATATAGTTTTCTAGACTATAACTGTCAAATCGGCTGTCATAATAAACAGCTTATGTTGGACATTTATGTTCAGCACTCTTTGACAAACGAAGCAAATATTTCAAAATTTCAATGTCTCAAACTTCGCGTTCATATCAGGGCATTTTCCTGCGTTAGCGGATTTGTAAAATTGGCATATTCCAAGGAAAAACCATCCAGGCTCCTTTATACACGTTACCATTAATACAGGCAAGTAATTATCGATTTCTTGTTTTCCATGGATATGCCAATCATCTAAATGCTACACAACAAGATCAATTTATTGAGAGAAACTTTTGGTGACCGAATCATATCATGATATGAACTAGTCAGTCGCCAAACTTGATTTGACTTCGTTAGACTTATTTTTGTCGGGATACACCGGTCTATGTTCGAAAAACTTGTCTATATATATATATGTATATAACATTTAAAAGTTCTTTTAACAGACATTCACCCAATGTCGTTGGGTTGAATTTGAGAAATTAATGTTTAAAACTTATTAAATTGTGCTCGACATTTTTATATCCTGAACAGGGTATATTAAGTTTGCCATGGAAACGGTAAAGACCCTATGCGGTATATATACAATTGTATATATATATATAAAGAGCTTATATCCGTCCTTCTGTACATATACGAATTAGTCCTCAGTTTTTGAGCTATCGATCTGATATTTCGTACCCGTACTTTTCTCACCAATAAGCTGCCCATTTATCGGAACGGAATCAAGGGTTTGTATAGAAAGCTTTTTCATTTGACGAGATAAATTTGACATGTAATATTATTAAAGGCAATTGTAAAATATTCGAAGAATTTGTTCAGTCACTATAGCATATAGCTGCCTTACAAACTGACCGTATAATAGCTTCGGTGCAACCAAACGTAACGTTTTTTCTTGTTTGAAATAAAATTCGTTATTTGAAGAGGTCTGAAATGACTTTTTCAGACCCGGCTTTCAATGTTAAATATATATTGCATGCCTTGTTCTCGGAAAAGAAGATGAAATATTATTTTATTCTTATTCGTATATTGTATGTACATATGTGCGCGTTTCTGCTTAGTCAATGGAATTACTTTTGCCTCACACATAATCTAAAACAAAGTGTATTTACGTATTGTCAAGTATTTTGGTAAATCCACTTGACTTCTATTAACTAGCTGACTTCGCAAATCCATGTGTACGCAATAAATACAATAAACATAATTGACATCTCGACAACTAAGTTTAATTGACTTCTAATAACATTTGTGCAGCAGTATTCCCCAGTGTCTGTAGCAACAGTTTATTTTATATACATATACACTTATGTTTTACCACCTCTCTTATTTCCCTACCCTCCCCATACCTTTTCCTCTCTACAGACGGCTACTTCACATCGAAGGATAATCCTTGGTTTTATTGCTGGATAGTGGCGGCCATTGTGTCCTCATGTTATGCTTACACGTGGGATATTAAAATGGATTGGGGCCTCTTTGACGCCAAGGCTGGTGATAATCGCTTTTTGCGTGAAGAAATTGTCTACTCGTCGACGGTAAGTGCTTGTCGGCATTAAAACTATCTCACACACACACAGTCATATAAAATACTTGTAGGCAATATTTCTTTGGCTACATTCTAAACGCTTTATAGTTGTCAGTTATAAATTTGTCTTATTTTTTGCCCAATTAGGCACCCATTTACTTTTTGTTTATGTACTAAAATGTTCATTTGTTGCTAATGGTGTATTTTCGATTCGCTCCGCTTTCATAGTGGTTCTACTACTTTGGCATTGTGGAAGACTTAGTGCTGCGTTTCGGTTGGACCGTTTCGATGAGCCTAATTGAGGCTGGTTATATGGAGGGTGATGTAATGATGACCATACTCAGTCCGTTGGAAGTGTTTCGTCGTTTTATTTGGAACTATTTTCGCTTGGAAAACGAACATTTGAATAATTGCGGTAAATTTCGTGCAGTACGTGATATTTCGGTGGCGCCCATGGATTGCTCGGATCAGGTGAGCGCTATTTTGCTATGTGCGTTAATTGCATCATATATTAAATGCAGAGAGCGATTATAAATTATGGGGGGAAAGTAATCTGCGTTACTCAGATTGCAAAAAAAAAATATTTTGGAATTATTAAAGTTAATTGCATAAAGATTTACGAAAGCGGTTCTTTAAGTCAACTCCGATAAGAGTTTTTTTGTAATATATTTATCTAGACAGCTGTTAACAAAATAGCTTAGTTTTGAATTAGTTGGAAGCGAGAGTGTTCGCTGATTTTAGAAATTGAAAGTTATGTTGATAGATGAATTGCTTAGTGGAAAATCGCGTGATGTCACGCAGGTCACCCAGGTCGATCGGGTTTAGTTGACTCACGTGCAGGGCTATCAGGTATCTAAGGTTCTTGATCTCGTATTGTCAAACAGACTGAAAGTGCGTGCGATAGCTGAGATAGTAGACTTCTTTAACTAAGTCATATCCTGTATGAAAAATTTGGCAAGGAAAAGATGTCGGCACATTGGATGCTCGCTCCAGCTAACAAGACCACTTCACAGCCGTTTGGGCGCAAGCCGAAGAACTTTTTGTGTTGTTTCACGACCAAACGAAACATGGATCCACTGGTACCGACTAGATAATGACAATGGACATCACCTGTTACCTGTTCCGAGTAGGCGAAGACTGTCGGCCGATCAAATTATGGTTACAATTTTCTGGGATACACAAGGTTTGTACCGTAACTACTACTAGAATAAGAGCATAACGTGGACAGGGCTTTACTATGCCGATTTTTTGGGCCAACTCGACACCGAATTCAAGAAAAAAAGACTTATTTAAATAATAGAAAAGTGCTTTTCCAACAAGACAATGCCACATACTTCCACTGTTGCCACGGTCAAATTGGTCAAATTAAACAACGACTGGTACTTCATTCGCCGTATCCCTTAGAATTTTCTCCCAGTAAATGCTCTCTATTTCCGAACTTGAAAAGTTCACTCGCCATTTTTTTCCAAAATTTAAGTTATTCTTTTGCAGGCTAAATATTTAATGAAACACCTTGTAGTGCTCACTGTTTGGCTTTAACACACTTTATTACATAAACTTCTTACATTTGTATATAGTGCAGGTATGTATATATGTATACAAATATACAATATTTTGTTTATTTTTGCTAGACGACAATTTTACGCATGATGGACGAGGAGGACGGCGTAGTCAACCGACGTGGCAAAACTAAAGGCCTATCGAAGAAGAAGGAGCAGCAACGCCTGTTGCTTCTACAAGGCGAATCTGTCGAAGATTTATGCTCTTAAATGGGCAAAGGCTTTGCATTTTGTTTTAAATTTAATTTATGGAGCATAGAGTATATATATATAAAAGTGTATAAAATAACAAGGAACATAACAATTGGGTAGCGAAGTTGTAATATAAGATGTGATTAATTTCAATTAATGTTGCAATTAAATGTTTATATACATACATATCCATATGTAATGTAGGTATGTGTGTAGATAGTGCTCGTTGTATTGTAGCAAAAATGGAAGAAAGAGAGCGAATTTCATGCTTCAGCCACGAGTAACGTATACAGACAAATTTTTATATACCTATACATATTTTATTTCACTCTATGTACTTATGTAATTTCCTTATATGCCAAAAGATCAAAGTAGTAGTTAGAAACCGAATACTGTTCAAAAAAATACTGCATAGAAAAAAAACAATTCGCGCAGAAAATACATATCCACACATTTGCTATTTTTAAATTAATTTAATAAAGGCAGTCATAGAATTAATACAATTTAAATTACAATACTCATGTCTAACTTTTAAGAACTTTTACAGTGGGTATAAATACATATATATGTATTAGATATATGCTTATGGCTGTCTAAAGTTGTGGCCTCATAGCCACTTATATCGAAAGGTGCGCACAAATTTATCTTTTATAAATTGTATTTAATTGTTTTTTTCTGATTTGTGTTTTTTTTAAATATATACTTTTCTTTTGTGTACTCGCAAAACAAATTCTATTTTCTTTCTGCAGAATGAATCAACAAAACATAACATACAATTTTGTTGTTATTCTCTTTTACATTGTTTGTCTACACCAATTTAATGTAATTGAACTTTTCATGTTAAATAAATGTTTAGAGAAATGCTGTTTACAAAGTTGACTCTTCTTTTGGATTCAATGAACGCAGGTAAAAGGTAAGCAAATACTAATTATATTTTAAGTACATAAGCATTAGGGTGTCCGTTATTTCCCAAGTTGATATTTTTTCAAACGCCCTATAAAGTTTTAGTTTTTGCCCTAAAAACAAGAATCCTATCCCTAAAAATTCAACCATGCTCTTCGCCTTCCTTTTCCCGACTTCAGTAATGTAATCGTTTTGTTCAACAAACGGTTGTTCGTATCATCTAATAATAAGTAAAGAAGGGCTTAAAGTACGATATCTCACTAATTAAACCAATTAGAGAGTTGAAATTTTACACATGAGATCGTACAATTAAACTTTTTAGTGGCCAATACAAAAAAATGGATAATGGGCGTGGCACGGCCCACTTTTGGGTGAAACTTAAATATAATTAATATCAGGATTTTCAAACATCCGGTTGACTTTACTCCTTATATATTATTGGTGGTATGTCAGGTTTAGAGATAATTTTTTCCATTAGCAATATGTAGTATTGCCAAAAAAACGTATATAACGTGAGATATCTATTTTAATAATAGTGGCTGTTTTTATTAGACCCTGTATATGAAAAATAAGTGAGAACACTTATAGAGCAGAAAGCACGTCGTGATAGTTTCAAAAACTTAAGGTTAAATATAGTATAAAAAGTTTCTAGCTTAGAGGCTACCTCACCCAGTTAAGATATTTCTCATACTTATACACAGAGAATAATATATCACTATTATGTACATATATATGAGGGATAGTGGAGAGTATAAATATATTTCAATCGTATTTAAAGTCAAACAATCTAATTTTATTTAGTTAGCACTTCTCATACACACTCAGCGACATAAACTAGTCTTACAAACTCTTAAAAATATATCCTTCGTTTCCATAATATTATATAAACAGTGTCAATAGTGCCGAGTGTTTGCGTATCAATACCGTTGATTGTATAAATATCATCTCTCATTACTATGTCAAGGAGAACAACGGCTAAACAATCCCCAGTTATTTATAGAGTGAACCATATTTTGCCATGGGCTAATCTCCAACTAAGTCGTTGTACTACAATCTACACTAATATGAGGCAAGCTTTTAGGAAGGTCACAGCTCACGTAAATGACGCATCAACGGTCTGTTGTGTTGAAGTCACTTAACCCATATCAGGTAAACAGGATATATTTGCTAAAGCGAATTGTCGAAGATTGTTTCTACGCCTTGACAATATCAATTGATTGATGGTAGTGTCAAGAGAACGAAATGAAGGAAGGAAGGAAAGAGGTAATACTTCTATTAAATATGTTTATGTCGACAATGTCAATTTTGTGGCAAATAAACATAGAAAGATGAAAACAAAGACAGCAAAAGCACTAAATCTTACGTGAGTGTTTGGTGGACTAAAAATTTGCGGTTGACAAATTTCAGGCACACAACAGCTTAAATATCTATTAGAATGCGTATATGTTAGGGTGAGCCAGAAACTAACCAATCGAAATTTTTGGTTGAAATGATAAATATATATGTAGCTACAGTAAGTAATGACCAATTTATTCAGATATTGTAGCGTTAGCTTGGACAATTATTCATACCAAATTTCGTGAAGACGTCTTGTCAAATAAAAAAACGTCATACGAGAACTGCATTTGGTCGTTGAGTTTGTATGATAGTTATGTGCTATAGTAGTCCGATATCGGCGATTCCGAAAAATTATCAGCTCCTTGGAGAGAAATCGACGTGTGCAAAATTTCAGACTGATGTCTCAAAAACTGAATGACTAGTTAGTTTATATACCGACAAACAATAAGACGAACTCAGCTCGGCACGGTTATCTTTTAATTATATACTTTGTAGGGTCTCCGACGTTTCCTACTGTGGGTGTTAAGGCAGGATTTATAGCTTTGTTTTTAAAAGTATCGGGGAGCATTCGAGCGATAACGATAAATAACGATTTTTAATTAAAAATACCATAACTTTTGAATAGATCGAGATATATTTTTTTACTGCGGATTTTTGTAGGGGTCTGAGAAGAGGTTTTTGATTTCAAAAATTCGTATTTTTAAAAGCTTAGAAAATGTTTCGTTTTTACTGTATTTGGTTCATTTTATCCCATAAATTCGATAAGCAAGTTTTTGGCTCGCCCTAATGTACATATATATTTCAAAGTCTTGTTGTACTCATAGTGTCAATAAAATAATATATTGATTGCTGTAAATACTGATTTATTGCAATTTGATTATTTGTATCTTAAGTTAAATAAATCAAATTAAGGGTGACACATAACATACATACACACAAATATAAATATATAGCGTAAGTGCCATTTATATACCTATACATACAAGTACATACATATATTCTCATATATAACAATAAACAAATGTGTCTATACCAAAGCAAATATGAGTAGGCCTGTCCTATATTTTTGTATTTTGTAAACAAAACTCTCTTTCAAACGTTTACATTAGCGTTGAGCATTCAATCTTATTCTGATGTCGGCACGACTTTGGCAACTTTCACAATGTTTTTACAGCAGTGTCACTTATGCGAGAAAAGTTCTCAAAGTTTTTGATTGGCAAAGGAAGCGGAGTGAAATCACATGTCAGCATGTTGTGGTTGTTTACTTAATAACAAACATTCCCTTTAAATACAAGCTGCTCTCCTCTTTGATAAGTGTTGTTCAGGTTTAATATATCGGCTGCAAGAGATATATAAGATATTTTATCTGGAGTAAGCAATAGTAATGGTAAATGATAAAAAAATTATAATGGTAAATAATAAAAATGATATTTTTGATTCTACATTTGATGAGATGCTTCGCTAGCCTTATTTAGAGGGGCTCGCGTGGTTTCTAAATATTTTAAAATCCCTTATAACTGTTTTTGCTTTCATACAAATTTTCTTCTCCCTGTTTTATAACAATTGTGGATTGTTTTTGATCGTCTAATTATGACATTATTTCAAATTAGCTAGCTCGCTGTCTAAATTTAGGTTAAAAAAGGGCATACTTCCTCATACCTGATATTATTTCCTATTTATTTATCTATAAAAAAGCTTCCATCAGGTGATTTAAATTCTTAAGATAAGCTTTTATGGCAGCAATGCAATTGTGACTTTGTTTGTCGAGGAAAGAGCGCTCTTTGAAATTATTTTTTTAATATTAGGCGGTGAGATTTTCTTAGATTTTGGATCCCGCCTTCACATCCGTTTATTCTCATACATATGAAATATTTCCTCGTGAACACTGCTGGTATTATAATAGTTGTTTATATTTTTTGGTTAGATCAATATGTTTAACGATTAATAGTCACTTGAAAGTTAGAAAAAAGCGAATTTAGTGTATTTTTTGAAGAGTTGTCCAATTACTGAATTTAATGTACTTTATTAATTGGTGACTCATGTTGAAAAATTATGGATTGCCCGTAGCATATTTCCAAATTTACTTCCAACAAAAGCTGTCTGGCGATGAAAGGGATTTTTCCGCTTAAAATTGTCTCAAATTTAAAAACCAAACAAATTTGGTATTACAATAGATGAATACAGATAAGAATTTTGAATATTGATGGCGAATTCTTTAAAGAAAGTAGTCATTTGAGAACACATTGACATTTTAAAATTATTTCAGAGTGGCTTTAAATATCAAAACTGTCATTAAAAATCGCATTCTTTCTATTAATGTCTGACAAATATACCTAGATAGTTGTGTGAAAATTTCAATTTGATTGGTCTAACCGTTTTGGAAGAATTTTCCTCAGCATCGCTGAAAACAGCGTTTCGAGAAAAACACATGTTAAAAGTTTTAAAAAGTAAATTAGAAAAAATTTCTTATATTACTCATATCCGAAGCTAATTTTAAAATATATATACATTTTAAATATATACAAAACATAAATATTATTCTCACATTAATTTTAATCATAATTTACTTAACACATTTGCGGCACAGTCAAGTAAAATATAGCATGCCATTGCGGATGAGTAACATTATTTGCTGTATTAATTATATTGCTTGAATAACGTTATGCCTGTCTTCTTCTTTCAATTGGTCACCCTTGGGATAAAAACAAATATAATGCTTAAGGGTGTTTAATTTCGACCCGATGATTTAACACTCTCGTTGCGAGCGTATGTAAATATAATTGAAAAACGATATGGATTGATTTTGATTGCGTTGTCGCACCTATGGTAGCTACTAAAGTTCTAAACACGAGAACAGAAACTTACATAGCAGACGACTGGCAGCTATTTACCTAATGCAGAAAAGAATAGGTAGGGGAATACATATGCTGAAATTTAAAATGTGCCAAGAATGGTTTTAGTTATAGTTTTCTCTTCATCCCATTTATCTCCTTAAGAAATGCTCTTTGCAATATTGTGATATTTTTTTTGAACTAAATAAGTGAAAACTTTTATTTGGCTGCACCGTAGTTACAATACCCTTCACAGGTGCGACTATATGTATAACCGAATTTAAAAATGTTACCCAACGGCTTGCATCCAACGGCTATATCCTATAGTAATCTGATCTGAACAATATGTTTGGACTTTTTATTATTGCCGTGGACAATAGCCCATGCCAAGTTTTGTGAAGATATTTTGTGAAATACAAAAGTTTTCCAAAATCATTTGAGTCAATTTACATTTTATTTAATGCAATTTATTGACCTGCTTGTATTTAGTATCGAATTTCGTATTAAAAATTATCACATAAACTCTGCAAACTGTTGGATGTTTATCCAAATGTGGGGAAAATAAAGAATGGGATATTAACTCAATAGCTTTTCTATTTTTTTAGTTCCGAAATTCAATGCAATCCATTTCAAACAAGCAAATCAAAAAATGTGTATTAAACCGTATGGCCTGGTAGCATTAAACTGAGTATATACTTGTATATATACGCTAATAGTATATTTGCTTCTCCAGTCGGAAATTTACACATATATGCTTAAAAATTTAATTATATCTGCTCATAACCATCGTCGAGGTTTGCTT